TCCATCCATTTAATATACAACCTTACATGACTCTTACTCATTGACTAAGATCTTCTCCAATTCTTCTCCAAGCTCCAACAATTCATAGCAGAGTCAAGAACGGGGTTAACTTCCGAACCCATTCACATATCGAGCCATATACTACATATCAACCAGGTATTTCGACTATACGAAGCAAATCTGATTCACTTTGTCAAGTCCGTTCACTCGTTCACACCATACATACGCATAAACGAATCTGGACCTTTCCTTTACAAACACCATCTACCCACAATTTTGGATACCCACCGCGGCATCCATACACTCTTTTCTCCAATCATTCTAGACTCCTATTTTGAGTCGACCCAACCTTCCAAGCCTTAAAGAATTCCCACAAAACCGACATCATGGCCGATGATTTTGGGGGTCATGACCCATTAACTTCCTCAACTCTTCCTCACGACAATCCCAATCCAACCGTTATTCATCCAAATCCTGAGAAGATTACTCCTAGTAGACAGAGCACGATGAGGTCTAAGGGTGGATTTGAAGTACATGCTAGTGGAGCGACAACTCCCAGTAGTTTCAAGAGACAGAGCAGACATGATTTAAATTTGGACGATTATTTTGTATGTTTATATCCTTTTCTTTGCTTCCAGTCAGATCTTCTACTTCTCATCTGGTTCACCCAAGACTTACACCTCCATAATCATCTCAATATGACTAACATCCTCTTCACCAATAGGTCGGACCAAGAAATCTCGATGCTCATTCCAAACTTCCATATTTTATGCGCCTTCATGGATCCGTTATTCCTCGAATGATAGTACCTCTTTTCTGGATCGCATGTTGGTCTACTTTAATTACATGTATTTCAAGATTCTCGGGTACAGAATTGGCTGTTAATACTTTACTTTTGACGGTTCTTGGTTTTGTTATTTCTTTGGCATTAAGTTTTAAGAGTACTACTGCTTATGAACGGTTGGTCTCCCTTTTTCCTTTATCCCCCTTCTGGATGGGAAGTATACATCAAAGAGTTCGAGCGCAGCGAGCTAAAGGGGGTTTGGGGGCTTGCCCCCATATATCATACTATTTTACCGGACAACGTCAGACATTGAACACTCAAATTTCTTTGAAATGACGCTCCGCTGGCTCTCCGAGCGCCATTGCCATGGAGGCAGACCAAATTATTCAAAACATTATACATAGAGCCTTAACTAACATAAAAACAGTTATTCCGATGGACGTAAAGCATGGGCATCTCTCTCGGTCCAATCCCGCAACCTAGCTCGATTCATCTGGGTCAACATCCAAGAACGTGAAGGTGATATGGGAAAAGAAGATCTCCTCGCAAAAGTAACTGGTATCAATCTCGTTCTTACCTTTGCTGTTGCTCTCAAACATAAACTTCGTTTCGAACCTTATGCCCACTATGCCGATATCTCCGCTTTAACCCATCATCTCAATACTTATGCTCAATCGGCTACTACTCCCGAAGTTCTCATCGAGAAAAAGAGAACACCATGGAAGCGTGCTGGTGAATACCTTGGTCTTAGTTTCGCCGCTAGTAACCCCCGAAAAGCCATCAAGAGATCTAGCAAGCCCGTTGGAAATCTTCCAAATGAAGTCCTCACCTACCTAAACTCCTACGTCGAAGGAACCATCCGCAACGGCACTCTCGATTCTCCCGTCGTCTTGGGTCAAATTCTCGGCTGCATAAACGCCCTCACCGATTGTTCCGCCGCCGCAGAACGTGTTCTCCAAACTCCCCTCCCCATCGGCTACAATATTCTCATTTCCCAAATCGTCTACCTCTACGTCTATCTTCTCCCCTTCCAACTTTATGCTTCTCTCAAATGGATTACCATCCCCGGAACCATTGCCGCTGCATACATCATCGTCGGTCTCATGGCCATCGGAAACGAACTCGAAAATCCCTTCGGAAACGACGTCAATGATCTTCCCCTCGATCACTACTGCGCCGAGCTCGCCCGCGATTTCGATATCCTCACATCCGTCAAAGCACCTTCCTGGGATGAAATCGTCTACGGAAGAAAGGAACGCGTGACGGAAGATACCGAGGAAGAGTTGATGCGCGAAAACAAAGTTCTCTGGCCACTCAGCAACTCTGGTGTTAGAATGTGGAGAAACAGAGACGAGAAGGAAATCCGTGATGCGTTGGCTGCGAAAGTTGTCGTCGCGGATAGGAAGAGTAGAGATGCGTTCACGAGCGCTGGAGAGGCAAGAGCGAGTACGGCGAGAGCCAGGAGTGGGAAGAGTGATTTGAGTGCCGACAGTGCGGATAGTGCTGCTTAGTTGGGGAGAAGGATGTGAGTGAGTGAGAGCAAAAATGGTGGATTGTAAAGACATAGGGAATAGAAAAGCGTGGATGGGATGCGATGGGGTAAATTGTTATTCGAAAAAAAAAGTAAATGAAGACAGTTGGGATGAGAGGACCGGAACATATCACGCCCTTTTATTTATCTCATGACAATCAAAAGTCCATGATTGGTACGTACGCGCGAAAGGCAGAAAATGGGTCGTATGTATGTTTATATGTATGTATGTATTATTCACGGGCGTTTTTGGAGGGAGATTAATGGAGTTGGTTGTATGTATGCATGTATGTATGTATGTATGTAGTTTATTGTATTTTATTTCACCTTACATTACATTTATTGAGAGAGAGAATAGGATTTTGGAAATCTTGACTTGAATTTTTTGAATTTTTTTTGAAGTGGGAGGTGTGATTTGTGGTTGATGTTTTGTGTGGTGTATATTGTGATTCGAGTCTTGAGTAAAGAGATGGATGGGATGGGATGGGATGGATATCGGTATTCAAGAAATGAATTGGTAGATTTTTTTTAAAAGGTTTTTTTTTACAATAAATAAAGGAAATACACGCAATGTATGTATATATATATTTGTTGTGAGGATGTTTTTTTTTTGTATTCGAAATCTTCTAACTAGTTATGATGAGATGAGACGGATGGGTGGGTGAGTGGTATGGTATTACTTGGTTGAGTGGGGGTAGTTGGTAGATATTGGGTATCGATTATATGCCTGGGGAGTGGGAGTGGGAGGGGGGAGAGTTTTGTGTATTTCTTGTATTTATTTATTTATTTGGATGTTTGGATATTTGGATGTTTGGATATTTAGATGTTTAGATGTTTAGAGATATATTTCTTGTGTTTTGCTTTTGGATGGGGATGGTGATGGGGATGGGGATGGCGATGGCAATACGAAGTATTCTCTAAGAGTGTAGATCTTGATTCGTTAGTATATGTACATAGGTAGGTAGGTGCTGGAGTGATTCGAGTTGTGGGTAGGGTTCGTGGGTTCGTGGTATGAATAGTTATTTATTTGTATTGCTGTCTTGGGTGAGAATGAGAATGAGAATGAGAAGAAGTCTTGTCTGTCTGTTTGTAGGTAGGTACTTGATATTGTATTGTATTGTATTATGTTATATCATTTCATTTCGTTTGATATCATGCTCGTGGCTGTGAGTCTGTCGAAATGGATGGCAAGTAGAAGGATTTTTATGTACTAGGTACTGTCTTGCTCGTTGTGTATTGTAGCCTAGTTCCTGGGTGTGTCTGGTATGTCTGGTATGTCTGGTATGTCTAGTATTTCTAGTCTATATAATATAAAGAATCAAGAACTGCGGATTAGATTAGATTAGATTAGATCTTTTGCTTCTGTTCTGGTTCTATTCTGGGTTTGTGGGAATAGGGGGTTGGGTTGGGTTTGATATTATGTTATATGATGTTGTAACTAGCTAGGTAATAGGTATGGTTTGTTCGATATTCATCTATTGTTTTTGCTGAAAGGTACTAGATACTAAATGTATCTCGCTTGGTAGAAAGGTAGAGAGGAGAGAGGAGGGGGAAGGTGCAGGATGGTTCATGTTTATAGGTAGTCGGGGTAGGTGGGGTAGGTAGAGGATCTAGTAGGCTAGATTCTGGATTGCAATCCAACAAGATAAAGGTTTGAATATCTCAAAGCAACTAGACCATTCGAACCCTCATAGTATTACTCCTCAATCCAGACTATCGACACTCTATCTATAGCAACCAAATCTTTTCGATGCCGTACAGGTCTGCAGATGGATAGGATATGCACTTTTGAATCCTGCTGTTTGTATGCTGTATGAAGCTCTGGCATGGTATCTGGATTTTCGTGTCTATCAGTCTCTCTCGGTTTGTTTATCTGGAGTGCATTTCATGTGTGTTGTGGTATCTCACCGTCGTTTTCTACATTTACTGATTGGTTAGTTGTTCCTTTTCTCATTCGTCGAAACCTGTCTGCGGGAATTTGTGATTCATAATTCATACAGGCGGTGTTTGAAGATTAGAATTAGAAAATACAACCGAGAGTCTGGAAGATTGCAGTAGTAATTCATAAGATTACTTGTTAATCTGGTCTGAATATATGAAGAAACATTATGTGTATAGTACAGTAGACTCAATCACACCTTCTCGAATGGAAGATACAATCAGGTTCGTTACTTCCTTCTCTGATCATCAATGAAGATTGATTGGAAGTGAGTCTTTGAATTCATCTTTTGTATTCAATTTTCGATTCTACGAACAATAAATTTCTATCAACAGGAGTCTTATCACTTTACCAATTCTGATTTCTATAACTCTACAACTTGACAACTCGACAACTTACCTCACTATCCGACAACACCAAGATATCAGCACATCTATTTGAATGATAGCTTTACAACGGCATTTTTTCCTTCTGTCCTGATTTTTAAGCTCATTTTGTTTATAATTGAGGGTTGCAGTCAACGTCGACGCAAAAAGTCAGTTATATGAACGATTTATACGTCTTTGCTGCTATCAAACCATAGTCTACATGCTCTTATTACAAAAATCCAAGCTCCTCATTTCGATAATTGATTTGACAACCCACCGCGAAGCCAATTACTTAGTAGAGACAGCGATATGCGACACATTACTTTACAATTCTCTTCTCATTAACTAATATCATTTCAGACCAGTAACAACAAAACCATGCCTCCCACTAATATAGCAACAGAGTTTGTAAACAGCAACAAACTGACGGCCAAAGAATTCATACCCTTCCTCAAGAAGCAAGACGCGACTTTCTGGAACTTAGTATCTTCGGAATCGACGATTTTGGAAGCCATGACATCACATGAGGTATTAAAGGATATGCCTCCTCTGGAAGGACAGCAGCTTCAAGCTTTATTTGCAGGACTGCGTTTCTCAGGAGAGGAAGAAGGTCTAATGGGTTTTGAGTGATGAATACAAAGAGGTATCATTGGAGAGGGTAAATGGCCAAGAGTATATTTCCCCGGGCTCTTGTGGAGCTCAAATGGAGAGATCAAACAAAATGCTACGGCAAACAATGGGAGGAGGGGAGTTCATTGATTCAGGATCAGAAAAAGAAGGGAATGAAATCATTGATTTATCTCAAAAATGCAAAACTTGTCGAAAACTCTATTTCGGTCCAGATATGTCTCATAAGCAGAAAGATAACGTTCTTTGCACACTCTGTCAGGTAGTGCCAAACTTCCATCGCCGCAAATCAGGATCAACTTCGGTCTCATCGCTATCTCTTGAGTTTCAAAAGGATGATGCCGAACCAATCCAGAAAGACGTAAATCTGGAAGTTCAGTACTACTCGCAAAGTCATCAGCTCCAAAGTCATAGCTCCGTCTGCCGCAGATTTACCTCCTTTCCTAGGTCTTCAAACCCCGGAAACTCAGTCTCGTGAACGCATCATCAACTTCGATCCTAGAGCAATCCCGTTATCATTTGATGATCCAAAATCTCCGGATAGAAGGAGCCAAGTCCTAGATATGCCAGTCGCATCAATTGATGCATCATATTCACCTAATGGTAATGCATCATTCGACCAAGGTACCCATCAAGGTGCTTCGAATGATGAGCCATCATTCATAGGACTGTGTAACAGCATTTCAAGTCCACCATTGTTAGTCGCGCAGTCCAAACAAGAGATTGCCTTGAAGTAATCGCCTCTAAAGTCGCAACCAGTAGTCTCGGAAAAGAAGAATTCACGTAGGGAGATCGATCTAACCGATGAAACATCTGGCGAGAAAAAAACTAAAGAGGAATTGGAATGGGAGTCAGCAGGTCATGATCTTTCCATTCGCTTGTGTGGCTACCTTTAGAGTTGGCAAATACTCTGACCATACCATCAACAACGACTCTCTATTCCTAACTTTGTTAGACCAAAAGTGGGAAAGATTACGACTGATTGACCCAGTTAAAGCTTTCCTCTTCAAAGCCATGAAGGCAAAATCTGAATCCGTACCTGGAGATATTGACGCGGTGTTACCTTCTATCCAAGATAGTGATCTTCCACTGGAGCACATTCAAAAACTCGTCACGGTTAGCCAAATCTCTACTCGTGCAAAGAAGGATAAAATTGGTGCAGAAATTGCACAAGTGAGATGTGACTTTGAGTTACACAAATTGGTCGACGAAGCCGGGATGTCCGTTGACCCAACGTCAAAGAGTTTTGAACAAGGGAATCCGATCGAAATCCGAAAAGGTATGTACTATGAGAAGTTGGCTGAGATGAACTTCTTGAGGGCGGGAGGAAATCTAGCCACTTGCACTGAGAGATAACTGGTAAGCATCATCATCACTAGTTCAATAAATACATGGATTAGCACTAATGTATCATAGAAACCATTTCTCGATGATTTTCGCAAGCAAAAGAGAGTTGGTATTAAGGTTTCTCAACTGGTAGATTGCTTCAGCAAAGGAATTCTGTACCTTTATCCATTTTTTATGCCCGAAATCCAGAAAGGAGGAAAAAACAAGACCGGATCCAAGAAATGGTCAGTTGCTCGCCTTAGTGTGCTATGCACTTTGATACACTCATCACAAAGCGCTTTTGAAAAGAATTTGAAACTCTTAGCCAGAGCATTTGAGCCTTTCCTACACGAATTATCCAATGATCTCGACGTTGAAGCCTTGTTGAAGGAATTAGATAACCAAGATCCGCACCCAGAAGGTTTGGAAGATTCCCGGTACCAGCATTACAGCAGTGACAATGATAAGATGGAAGAACTCTTCGAAGAGTTCCCTGGAACTTCATGTTTCCTACAAGGGTACATCATCGAATCCGGGATTAACCATTCTCCTGAAAGATCTACAGAAATTTGCCCAATGAAGTTGGCTGTCGGACACTGTTGTAGATGCAGTTATGCATTTATATCATGACAAAAAGCCAAAAGATCTTTATTTGTTGAGGTCATCCAACCTCGAGATGTTTGATAACAAGCCAAAGGAGGCTCAAAAGGGTCTATGTAGGATGTACATTGATTCAATCAAAGGCCCTGACGGTCTGACCTGTACTTCAATCAGTATGTTTATCATTCTATACGATTTGACTTGAAAAAATAACACTGACATTGAAATATAGGAAAATACTTTGCGTTAAGGCTTTTGAAAGTCACTGGACCACGCAACTTGCGCAGATCACCACGCCAGTTGGACCAAAAGCAACAGTCCATATAACTATTAAAGTGTGGGATAGCCTTGAGAATGACCACACTTCAACTTTGGATTTCCAACGATGGTTAACCGAAGTTGTTATGTTAGAAGAAGACCCCAAGACGGTTAAGTGTTCATTACAAAAAATGAACTCTATGCGACAATCGAACCTCGATGATTGTGGAATCATTGCCTTGCATAACGCTATCGCCACTTACCATGGTGAAGCTGACACAGAAATGTTTTCGGAGGAATGGAGTCGTCAAGAAAGATACAGATTTTGCTCCATGTTTGTGCAACATGCCAAGAAGTTGTATAGGGATAGAAGAGTCTAGTGAGAGGATGGCAGAGTTTAGTGGGAGGAGAGCTGATTTTGATTTGTTCGAGAGTACCAAAATGCAATTTTCACTGGCTGGCTAAATGGAAAGGAAAGAAAGGGACGTAGATTCTTGAATTATGACAATTTTGTACTGTGGAAATCCATCAATGGCCAATCTTGATGCACCATCTGTATCCCGTAGTGAAGATTTTGATTCCAATAAATACGAATACACAAAATACGTCATGAATCGAGTGAGTACGTCTTTCGTCTAGACGTAAGTATTCCATAAACTACATAAACAAGGGCTAAGAACACTAGCCTTATTTGGGTCACTTGACTGACCAACGCTTGGTTTCCTCCACAATATATGTAGTTCACCGAATTATGTCATATTTATCTGGGATTTATCCAGGCAAAATTCCACGGAAGTTTATTCAAAATACTGCCGAAAATCATGAAATCTTCTGAAACTGCGTATACTTGTCAACAATTGTTGTAGAAGTATCGATTTCGTATATTCTAACCTATTCCAAATCCTAGATACACATAACCCCGGTACTCCTAAACGGTATCCTGCCCCCTTATCCCCAATCAAACCTCAATCATCAGCGCCGCCATCATCACCTCTTCCCGTCAACCCCCCACCAATCCTAACATTCTCCTTCCCAAGAGATCATCCTCACTAGCCAAACTGACCATACTCTTCTGTCTCTTGAGTCCCCCTCTTAACCTCGTTCTCCCTCTCTCCCCACTCCCAATTTCTTCTCTCAGAAGTTTTTCCTTTCTTCTTCTCTCGCCATTTCCATTCACATCCCCTGGCCCTTTGCCCTTTCCGCTGAAACTCATCCTCATTTCAAGTCCCATATCATCATCCCCCGAACTTTCCGTTCTAGTCCTCCTATGATGTCTCTCTTTTCCATTTGCTTTCGCAAGATCTCTCTGTTCTGATTCATTGAAAATTTCTTGCATCCACTTTCCACATTGGAAAATATATTTCCAACCTTCAGGAAAGATTCCGACAAATTGTAAGAACCCGTGACTGATACCCGGAATCAACATAACTTCTGCGGCATCTTCCCCCTGACAGCGTCTTAATCTTCCGGCAAAGATAACGGTATCGTCTACTAAGGGATCTCGTTCACCAGTGATAAAGTAAGTTTTAGGGAATTGAGCTAGTAATGAATCAGGTGCTAGAATCGGAGATAGAAGATAGTCGGTTGAAAAGTCAGGACGATTGTGAGGACCTATGTAGAGGATTATCATGGCACGCATCATTTCGGGAGTAAGGATACGATCGTTAAAGTATGATATCATTGATGACATGGCAAGACGAGTGCGTAGAGGTGCTGGATGGTGAGATGTTGAAGGAGTCAATGGTTCAATATTCGCCGGAGTTCTCGTTAAAGACGGGGAAAGGATTGTAGGAGCAGCCGTACTATATTGAGGAGAGGGTAGTGAAATTTTAGATGGTTTTCCAGGAGAAAGTTCTGTGGTTTCTTCTCTGCTAGCCAGTGGCGAGGGCAATTTCGGTGGACTTTCATCCTCATCTTCACTTTGATGAGGTGTTCCTGCTGCCAAAGTATATTGCATACTCTTTCTTTGGATGATCCCTTTATTAGTCTTCCTATATTTCTTTTCTTTAATCAAACTCATCTGTTCATCACTCATCCAATTTCCAATGTTCATGTCCAGCCCAGGATAAATGAGAACTAAGCCATCTGGAATCGGAAGTCTTCCTTGTCCCATGAATTGTCGAGCATCTGTTTTCCCGGATTCAATAATCATCAACGTAGTGCTAGCAGCTAGATTCCCGCCGGCGCTATCTCCCGTAATGACAACCTTTGGTACTACATCTCCGGATAATCCTACACAACGTCCTCGACTAGCGATTATTGTACTGTAGACATCGTAACATTCGTTCAGTGCGTAAGGATATGGAAACTCTGGAGCCTTCTTATAGTCCAAACTCAACACTGGCAATCCAGTCTTCCCTGCCCATGCAAATAACTTGTCGTCATTCGTTCTTGGATCCATTGCCACAAATCCTCCACCCGGGATATCCAAAACAACTTTTGTATGATTTTTCAAAGCTGATAGTGGTCCATCAAAGAATAACCACCCATTAACTGGTTCTTTGTAATCACTACTCGATGGTCTCGGTATTCGAATCGCCCTAGGTGGATATCTCATGAACCGTGGTCGTAATAGATTCGACAAAAATCCCAGGTATGGAGTTGTTCCTTTATTCCAGCTAACTCTCAAATGGTCCACGGTCAACATCCCTCTGACTTTTCGTACTTTTTCATCGGCTTGCTCGGCAGCAATCAGATAATAAAATGTGAATACGACACCAGCCAAATCACGTATCCACTTCCGCCTTATACGCATGGCACTCCAAAAACCCGCATCCAAAGCTGTGGTAACCCATGTTGCTCGAAAGTATGATCTCGTATATAGGTTTGCCAACGGCTCCGGGCATTCAAGTCCAACGAGCTTTCCCAAATTTCGTGCGATGTAAAGATAGAGGAGGGTTATGACAAGAGTTTGCCATGGTGTGAGATATTTTTCGAGTAGACGGGATAGTTTTCTAAGTTTTGGTGGACCATCTCTGTTCCCTCTGTAGATTATGATGTTTAGTTAATGATATAATAGGAGGGTGGCGCAGGAATGTTACTTGAAAAGGTAGAACGACCAGAAAGAAACCACAGCCAAAACTTGTATCTTACGAAACTTTACAGAAGGTCGCCCTAGAACATGATCTACCAACTTCGTCAGTAATTGAATAAGGTATGCTGTTGGGAGTAGAATATACCTATCATCTTGATTAAAGTTATATGTTGTTGTACAAAAGAGAAGATGCCGAGTAAGAACAAAGAATTGTTAATAACATGTGCGCGCTCCAAAGAAGTGTTCGTCTTCCGGAGCTCAAAGGAGAATAGGAAATTACAAGCGCAAGATTGATAAGTGTGGAAAATGCATGTATGTGAAATGAAGTAGTCTTGAAGTGAAATTGTTTCACCTGTTTGGCATGAAGATAGACGCAGAAAGCGGGATGAGATTGTATTGATGGATGAGGATAGGTAGGTGAGAATACTCTTCAAGCCAACATCATAGCTTATAGCTAGCTTGTGGCAGATTAAACCGAAGCATATGATCAAGTCAAGCAGAAACAAGACCGAGGCTGATATAATCCCCAGTCCAATGTCTTCAAAGTATAACGACGAACAACGAATTGAAAGTCTGGGAATGTTTAATGTTAGAATGAAATCGTGGGGATTGTGTGGAGAACATCATTGTTTGTGTTTGTATTTGGAGTGAAGTTTGGCATGTGATTATATTGGTTGACTCAGCTTGAAGGCACGTGCTGAAGATCATTGGCGCTAGCGGCCGCTCGATATGATAGTTCGATGTCTACGAAGTGATGGAAGCTTGTAGGTACATTACTCGAGTACCGCACTATTATCTCTTTGTGTTCGATTTCAAGCATTGCTCCATTTGCACACAGTTGTCTCGTACGGAAATAAACATCAGATGTCGCTTTTAATCATTACTACTATATCCTTACAACTTCACGGTAACCCAATTCAGCTTCCACTTCAATCTCGACGAGAAATTCGTCCCCAATTACCCCTGATACCACCAATGTATTTGATGGTCTGATTCCCGCGCACTTAAAAGCCCAACCATGTGCAAGACTGACCGCTTCAACGTCCTCCTCCTTTTGCAAGAATATCCTAGTTCGCACAACATCGGACAAGTCTCCGCCCAAAGCTTTTATGGCACGCGCAACGATATCTAGGATTGCTACGGTCTGGCTACGCGCACTTTTCCCACCTATCGCTGGAATGCTTGAGACTGGAGAATTGGCCGTGGTCCCTGACACGCGAATGGTGTTGCCTGTTCTAATTGCTCGAGAATAACTCTGTCAGAAGAATATTAGCAACCTTTCTGACACATCCGGCGTAAAAACATACTGCAATAGGCTCCCAGTGGCTGCCCGAAGAATATTCGATGCGAGCTCCACCAGCGATAGCTTTGGCGATCTTAACATCGTGGTCTGTCTCTTCAAGGTGATCGCTGAGATCACCTTTTGCTGTGAGAAATGGTGGTCGTCGATATTCATCACCGCAGTCTCCTGGTATATCCGAAAGGCCCTCCTGTGCTTTTGCGATCAAAGCCCTGTCTTCTGCATCTAATGCGAAACTAAAAGCCTCAAGATTGCTCACCGTATACTTATCTGAAGTACTTGATAGTCTAGATCCGACAATTACAGCACTTACAGCAGGAAGGTCTAAAACATGTCGTGTTGCAACCGCAGAAATGCCAACGCCGTACTTTTTGGCAACTGTGGAAAGTGCTTGAAGCACAACTTGATACGATGACCACCCTCCAGCTGCATTAATAAATCGCAGATATTTTCTCAGGCTCCAGTTCAATTCCGTTTCATCCTTTGGTTCTTCGACCCCAAGCCACTTTTCACTAAGATACCCCCGAGAAGTGTTCCATATGCCAAGATACCAACGTTATGTTCAGTACATACTGAAACAAGTCGACCGCGAACATGACGACGATCAATAACAGAGCAGGATACCTGATTGGTTGCAATTTTGAATCCCGTGTTGATCAAAAGTTCGAGATGTGCGGCATCTGTGTTTGTCATTCCAATCATTCCAATTTTTCCTTGTTTTTGTAAAGTTCGCAAATGCTCAAGATTTTGAATGTAACTATCATCCGTATAGTCCCATGCATGATCTACAGTACATCAGTATTCTTCAGAGGAATTCTTTGACTTTCTTACATTGCATCAATTCAATTTTCTCTTGCTTCATCCTCTCCAATGCAAGATCTACAGCTTTTTCTGCATTCTCGAAAGTGGTGATTCCATTTTCTGGTGGACACCATTTTGTGAAAGCTATCATTTTCTTCGTCGAGGACGAATTGTGCTGACCCATAACAAGTTCTATTTGGATCAGTAACCTAAGACTTAGAGACAAGGAAAACCCACCTGCGTCGCCATAATGATCAGCCATGTCAAAACAATCCAGTCCTGCTTCAATTCTTATTTGGAGATTAGTGACTATGTCAAAATCAGTTCTGATTTGGCGATTCTCACAATGGTTCCATCGCTTTGGCCGCTGCTTCCACATCAACATTTTGATCATGTCCTCCAGCTAGTTGCCATAATCCCGATACCATGCGGGGTATATCAAGAGAACCACCGATCAGGGTCCGCTCAGGTTTACTTGATTTGTTGTTTGCCATGATCTTGAAATTTCTCTGTAGAGTATGAATATGATGATTGAAAATTTCTGCAACTATTTGGGGAGTTCAATAAGTTGTATTAATGTATGTCCAGTACGCCTTTGCAAAAGCATACCTGTTTCCTCGGCAACTACACGATTACCATCAAATATGCAATGCGATTCAGATCAAAAGATCCCCTTACGCCTTATCGGATATTCCGCAAATTTGAGAAGTCTAACCGCGACTGTTCTACCTCCGCATCCGTTTCCGTATCCGTCTTTTTAGAACACCGAGATAAGATTTTATCTTATTGTGTTCCCAATTGAGAACTATTTAATCAAATTGAATGGGTAGCTGTGAGGAACCAATTGATAGTTATCTACGCAGAGGTCATGATAAGAAGTGGCGCTATAGTTTGTTGAGTCCCTGCAAAAATGGGGTTTGCGGGTGAACTCCACCCTTGATTGTGTGCGATACCGCCAATACATTATTTCCAATTGATACGTATATAATGAGGGGTAAAAATAGAGGTCGAAAATGTTACATTTGTTATCGAGTAACGTTCTTATTTATTTTCTAAATACTTGACACAAGATGGATACTGGCACCGGAAAACTCACCGGAAAGGATGACATCACCAATTTAGATGTCCAACCAACGGAAGACGTCGATTCTTTGAAACATGGCGAAGTCGCTGTGGGAAAATGGGGATCTGAGACGAAAAGAGAATTTAAATCAAGACATCTCAGTATGCTTGCTGTTGGGGGGACAATAGGGTATGTCATTCGTTTCTCTTAACGTATTCGGATACCGGAAGGCATTGGAGTGTTGCTACAATCTGCGTTGAAAACTCCGTCTCATTATGGGCATTGTTTGATGTTTCTAGTGGTGGTGTCACCACTGATCTAAACGAAAATGCCGACTTTCTAAATAGCTATTGGACTTACAATTGTAACTGTCCATCTATATTCCACTGGCCTTCTGAAGAGTGCTTGCATGTTGGTTTTGATTGCATGAGATCAGATGAATCAGTAGCATCACTTATCCCTATGCATACCTGGCTAACAAACTCTTTCAAGCACTGGACTTTTTCTCATCTCTGGAGCTACCATCTCAACGGCTGGACCTGTTGGAGCTGTAATTTCGTTCATCATATCCGGCATATTTGTGTATTTGGTTGTGGCTACGGTAAGTTTCGAGATTAGTAATTATTTTCTTTACGGCGAAGCTTCAGCTGTGGCTATGGGAATCTAATGACCAACCATGAAATAGATTGGCGAAATCGCCACCATATTTCCAGTTTCTGGATCATTTGCAGCATTCGGCGATAGATTCTTTGACCCGGCTCTTGGATTTGCCCAAGGGTGGTCATATTGGTTTCTTTGGGTTCTTACTTTACCGGCAGAACTATCTTCAGCAGGTATTATCATAAGTTATTGGCTACCAGATATTGGGACTTGGGTATGGGCCTTGGTATTTCTTGTCGTTATCGTTGGTAGGTCCTCTTTGAAAAATGGTGTCTCAAACCACGTGTCTAATTTTTAGTCATAAATCTCTTTGGAGTTCGATGGTTTGGAGAAGCCGAGTTTTTCTTCAGTTTCCTGAAAGTCCTCGTTGTTATCATCTTTATTATCGTCGGTTTGGTCCTCAACGGCGGTGGTATACCAGGCCACAAAGCTAAAGGATTCGATTACTGGAAGTCTTCGACAGAGGGAGCTCCTTTTGCAGCGGGGTGGCCCGGTGTTTTGTCTGCTTTGTGTACGGCTTTCTTGAGTTATGGGGGTACAGAGTTAGTTGGTTTGACTGCTGGTGAAGCTAAGAATCCACGTAGAGATGTTCCAAGAGCTATAAAGGGAACGATTGGGCGGATTTTGCTTTGTTATGTTGGATCCATCTTTGTCATTGTGGGTTTCAAGCATCTAAAATTTCCAATCGCATTCGGATTTTTGCTAATGACAATATAGAGTATCAACATCAAGTCAACTGACCCTTCACTCCTCACTACATCCGCCACAGAAATCGCAGCTTCTCCTTTCACTCTTGTTTTCAAAAATGCAGGCATTGCTGCCGCTGCTAGTATCATGAATGCTGCTATTCTCATCGCTGTAGTCAGTGCCGGTAATACCAGTGTCTATGCTAGCTCTCGTATACTGTTTGCTCTCGCAAAGAATGGACAAGCACCGAAAATTTTCGCTACCACATGGAAAGGTAATGGAGTCCCATTGCCAGCTATGTGTGTTAGCGTTTTGATAGGCTTCGTTGCATTCTTCGGTGCGATTTTTGGACAGGGAGTTGTGTTCACTTGGCTTTATAATTTGTAAGTATCTCACCATTGGCTTATACGTCTTTATCATCCAACTTTTAGCTGTTCTTAATCTGGGGGCAATTTCTTTCTGTTAAGGATACTTGCTAACAATATTCTAGAATCGCAATTTGCAATCTGTTAATCTACATGTCCCAATGTCTCGTACATATTCGATTTCGTCTCGGCTGGGTCCATCAAGGAAATAGTTTGTCCGATCTTCCGTTCAAAGCGGGAATCTTTCCATATACATCCATATTTGCTTTTCTCATGGGATGTTTGATTGTCGCCGGAGAAGGTTATGTAGCTGCAACTACGAGACCATTTGCTTGGGCTAATATTGTCGCTACTTATATCGGAATTCCTGTCTTTTTCATTTTGTATGGTATTTGGAAAGTGGTCAAGAAGGTATGTTTAAAAAAATTCCTTCTTTCCTTGTTTTTGGTGGTCAGGATTCTTTTGCGAAATTTTGTCTCCATAATAATTAATCATGTTTCTAGACAAAATTAATCCCATACTCGGACATGGATTTTGAGACGGGAAGATCTCAGCCTCCGAGTGATGAAGAGATTGCAGCTCTTAATGAGTTGGAAAGAACGGATGTCAAGACTTGGAAGGAATTGGATGCTCGGGGACGAGCTTTGAAGGTTGGTAGGGCTGTTCATAGGGTTGTTTTTTGATGGGTAGATGGGGTCAAAAATGGATGATTCTTAGATCGGTGCTTGGTCGTTGTTTAACGGAATTAATTACTTGGATATGTGGTTGAAATAAGTATTGTTGTTGGTGTGATATTATTTAGTATGAATTAGATTTAATTAATGCGACAGAGAGGGAGTTTTCGAAGAAGCTTCACTAGTCCGGCACATATGATAAGTGTGAAAATTTATGAGTCTGATATTCACAATTGATTTTAAAATATGTATATACATGCTGGAAGCTAGACACTGAAAGTCAGGCATATACAGATGAACGGGAGAAAGTTCTTCCCAGTCCGACAGAAACCTGAACCCCTCACCCCTCCACAATCTCCTACAATATTTACATCTTCCACCTCGCCCTAATTTTGAATAACAGAATAATATATACACGACCCATCTCATCTCATCTCGCACACCATTAAAGCGAGAAAATTCCACTCGTCGCCTTAACAAAGTTCTCCGCAACCAACTTCTGAATAGCTTGACCCGGATGATAAGTATCATACCACAAGCACGAAGTTCCATCCGCATTCATGCACGTCGCATCTGGCGAACCGTAGGTTGTTGGGTCATCCAATACGGTGTAGAAAGATTCGGTGGTGTTGAAAATCGTGCCGGTGACTCCACTATTCGCGGCCTCGAAGGTCGCCAAGCGAGTTACGAGATCGTTGTTGTAGGTGGTTATGTTGCCGCGTACGTAATCCATGTTTTGGGCGGTTTGCTCGGCGAAAACGGGGGCTTGGTCGAAGGGGGGAATGGTGAATAGGGTGAAGTACCTGATACCTGCATCGTAGAGGATTTGAAGCTGCGCGAAGTATACGTCGAGGATGTTGTCGAATGGAGTGACAAATCCATCCCAGTAGGAGTTTCCGACATCGTTGATGCCCATCCAGACGATGGCCATGGTGTTGTCTTCGGTCCAGGGCGCGGTGGAGACATCGTGCGCAGCGTAGGTTGAGAATTCGGTGACTTGGGCAATAAGATCGTGGGTGGCGCCGTTGACAAGAGTGTTGTCAGTTGTGGCGCCATATTCGGCGTAATCGTAACCGAGAACGAGGGAACTGTTGAGTTCGGTGGCGACGACGCCGAGCCAGCCGAGACCGCCGTCGGTGGTGGATCCGGGGAGGGCGACTCCGAGTGGGTTTTCGGCAGAGGGGAGGGTGGCTCCGCCGTAGAATCCGTCAGATGTGTAGGAATCACCGCTGGGAATTTGTTAGTTACATATCTTTCGGTATCAACTCTGATGACTTAAAAAAACTTACAAAACCATAAGATATTTGGTTCCGGAAGATGCGGATGAGCTTGCGGTGGAGGCAACTGCAGCGCTGGAAGAACTAGTGGCTACAACAGCAGCTTGAGTCGAGGTAAGCAGGGCGGCGGATGTAGAAACAATGGCAGTTGGGAGTGCCGCAAATGTTGTAGAAATGAGGGGTACGCTGGAAGTAGAAGAAGAACTTGCAACTACTGCTGATGATTGGACAGATGAAGCGACTACAGATTGTGCCGAGCTTATCTGGGAAGAAATCGCTTGAGCAGCAGAGCTCGCTTGAACAATAATCGAAGAGCTGGCTACTGAAGTAGACTGTTTAGCGACCGAAGTCGCGAAAGTAGTCGAGGAGCACTTTTTCTTCGTAGTAGCCGAGGATACTTGTAAAGCGGAGCTTGAAGCTGCTGGAGCTAAGCTTGAGATAGCCAAAGCAGTCGTCACAGGAGCGACTGCAGTACTCGATACAACTTCCGCTGCGCTTGTTGCTGTTGCAGCTCCCGCTACACATTGATAATAAAATGCATTTTGGGATTGACAAACCGCCCCCGAAACACAAGATGTCGATCCCGTAAATCCCGAACCTCCACATTGACCATACAACGCAACATCTGCCGCCGAAGTAGCTGAGATGAAAAGACCAGCCGCCAGCGGCAAAGATTTGGAATTGATGAAAACCATATTTAAAATTTATAGAGGATCGGAAAAAGAATGTGATTTTTCGCGAACAGCACGAAAGGTAGAGAATGAATGAAATATGAAGCAAAGAAGTCAAAACGTTCAAAAACTTCGCAAATCCATGATCATCATTTCATCATATATAGAATATGGAAAAATTCCAATCCATCCAATCCATTAATGTTCATCTCATTAAGGATCATTGTAATATCCCGAAACGCGCATTTACACTTTATTTTCAATATATTTCAGACGGGAGCTCGGCTGTTAAGGGAAGAACGGGGATATTTAGGGAATGTTTGATGGAAATTACAGGCGGCTAAACTTATTGTGGATTGCCTAGAAGAAGCCCTGGAGGAAAGAAGTGGCTGATGTGCTTCATTGAGTGGGGTAACAGGGAGAAATCACTGATGGAAAATTTATGAAACGTGTCACCCTTGTCGAAATTACTTATTCCATAGGAGAGTTGACGTATGCATGATTGAAATATATGTCATATGAAGAAGAAGAACCTGTACTAGTTCGTACCGGATGATTGAATTAGATCTGAATATCGAGAATCTCCATACACGGTTCACGCTACTCACACTCACGATGTTGAATATCTCGCATATCATGATGGCTGAACGAGCCGCTGTTCCGGTAGCATTAGTATGAAGCGGGGTCTAGCTTTGAAATCAGACATAATGGAAGGGCACTCAACAAGATACACCAAACTTCCATCTTGAACAAGGAGAGTTCTCGGTCCCGAACTTTCCAATCACCCTTTCCTCCGCAATCGTAATCGCCAGTCTGTAATGCCATACCATCACACTCCGTATCATGGTCCAAATGAAACTGATACCTGATCACAAAGCAAACAACGTATACATAGCCACGATCAATGAGAGAAGAGAGAGATCGTGATTAATGAATCATTCAAATCATAAAGCTTCTTTTGAATATGCTCTAGACTCTAGACGTCACTGATGGGGATGAGTTGAGATCGCTTCGGTTGATTTAAAGCTGCTTTAATCTTCATTTGTCGAGCTAGGGTGGTGAATTACGGGCAGCAAGGGTTTTCGTGTGTAGTGATGTTAAAGCGGCGATTGAATCCATCTGAATGAGAAAATGAGGGCTAGGCAATGTTCCAATCAAATTCAACATCTCACATGATTTGATTATTCTAATTGGTTTGGAGGTTGGATAAGTCTTCATTGTTGGACTGCAGTCCAGACTATTGGATACTCTGGGGTCCCGTCCCCCGCTAGTTCATGGCTAAGATCTAGCACCCTCTTCCATCTTTCTACCTTTCATATTTCTTTCCTATCAATTCTTGACATCTTTCCGGCGACCAAGGGAGATTCAGAGCAAGTATTTTTGAAGATGATGTTACAGCGAATGATCAATATTGTTCAATCAATCGCAGTCCATGGCTACAAAGTGATTCATAAGCCACTGTTATGCCTCACAGGCAGGCCCCAAGTTTCTGATAAGATCGTTCTACAGCTCAAGTGGTGATGCTATTGAACTCCTCTTTCTCTTGAATTCAATGAAAGAAAGTATTCCTGTACCTGTTTGCCGTCCATTCTGGCTCATTTTTGACAAGATCAACGACATATGAGTCTCATGATGTTTACAAACCCTCGGATTCGAGGGATTCAATGTGGAGGCGCTGATATATTCTAAGTGGTATTCATCCAGTAGATCAATCCGAATAAACCTGCAGTGCATATTCGTGCAATCTCACCAGATATTTAAGCACGACAAGAATGGAAAGAACCTTGTGAATGCTTTGAGGCATCGTCCAAGTGGATTATGGTATCAATTACTCATCACTCAGATCGGCTAATAGTTATTATTGCCTCCCAGAAGAGCTCCGGGTACCGGATATGGATTGTATCTTACAAGATAAACTGACTCGATTCAGACATTAAACTGTATGTATATTCCTTTGAACGATTTATATTGTTGAACCCACGCTTGCTATCTAATATACAATAACCCGAAAATCCAGGTCTATGAACGATTCTCTCGTAATCTTATTCTCGTCCCCGGTGTTTCATACCCACAGAAATTCCGTGAGACTCCAGAAGTGATTGCACATAAAGCTGTCTCTCCTCCACGATATGCCTTAGAGCGATATTATTACGCTTCCATTTTTCCGTTGTCAATTTCCGTAGAGGAGGTTCATGTTTCCGTTCTTCCGTTCCCAGATCCTCTAGAGGGGGTCCCCACTTTCTCCAAACTACAGCAATAGACTTATACCGACCCCTTTCCTGATCGAGTTGCTCGATATCTATACTACCCAACGCATCATCTTGGAAATACTGTCCATACAAAGGTCCGCTTTTCTGTCCACCAGGCACATAAAATCGGCACGAAATTTCTTCTTCTAGATCCTCTGCTATGAGATATTCGGATCTAACGGACATGCCGGAGTAGGTAAGGAGGACATGTTATAGTATTGTGATCGGTAATCTCAACCTGATTACTTATATAGTCGTTTTTGATGTTTTGTAGAAGCTCTAGGTGTTGTAAATCTTCCTTCGTGACCGAAGTTGGAGGAGTGCATAATCTTGGGGCTGAAGTGCCCTGGGAATAGTCTCTCCAGAGTCCAAGTTCTCTCGCGGAGAGTGTGGGGGTTGGAGTGGAAAGTTTGACTAGAGCGGACCGCTCGGGGTTTCTGGTCCTGTTTGAAGATCTGTTCGTCATTTTTGCCAAGGTGCTGGGGCTTGTCGTTGTCGTGCTGAATGTAAGCTGTCAAGTGACGACTGCTGTATACCCCAGGACTAAGAGCGAAATTGATATAGTGAGATGGTTTCGTGAATGATGAGGCAGTAGTACTTCAAAGCATTGGAGATCGTACCGGAATGGTGGTGGAATGATGTTATATAGTTCGGTTGTGTGGAAATGATAGTATTGTTCCATGAGATTCGTCCTTGTAGATGTATGCGTTTTGAAATTCGTGGCAGCTGGACACAGAAACTGTGCTGTTTGACAAATTATATAAGCGCTTTGAAGAGTCAATCACTTCTAGAAAAGACTCATGCCATTGAATCAAATGGTCAAATTCAACAAAAGTATGAGTGGAGGAGTGGTGTCATTTCACAGTCACACAATTGCAAGGCACGATCAAAAAACAATGACTCAAAATCAATTTTATTGCGAAAACGCATGCCTAATTCAACCGATTCCAGATTACTCATAGACTTCCGACTCATATCAATCATTAGTCGCTAAAGGCACCGAAAGTCCACGCCTCGCCTTCATAATCGAAGCCAGGCGCCACGCATCCTCTGCTCGTTTATCCAACGAGCGATCCGGTGAACCCCATTTCAACCTCCAAGCTCGCGCCCAGCATGAATCCCTATACTTCGGATCAAATTCCCGTCCAGAAGGTCTTTGAACAAACGGTTCAGAAGTTGGTGAGTCGGAAGTCGCTATTGCTATAATCGTTCTTTCGCTGCTTTGCATTATGTATTGGCCATTGATCTTAGGGGAAAAAATCTTCGGATCCATCGCAGTGAAGTCGTTGCATGATTTGTTCAGCCAGAGCGCATTCGCTGGACACGATGATGAATTGCGAAGGGGGGACTATGAGGGGATCTTGTGCAAAGAAGGCACTTCTGCAGAGTTTCCAAATAGGTTGTCCGTCTTCGTCCAGTTGCCACCTCTCAAATCTCACCTCGATGATAAATTCAGGTAGTTCCTCTAGACAGTAAAGATTCACGTCGAATATGAGTCGAGGCTTTATCTGTTTGCCAAGGTCTAAAGTTCGCATAAAGTGTTCATGTTGAGGGGGGAAATATTTTTGAAAGCGCTCGAGAATTTTGAAGTTGAGAAACTCCTTAGAGTCAAGTGAGCTAGGCGATTTGAGGGTAGCTCCCCTGATAGTTCTAGCGTGCTATGATATGTTGCGTCTCCACTCATAGATTTCCTCTTGAGAACTTTCATGACAAAATTTCCAGTAGAAGGTAAGTGTAGAATGAAAAACAAGAATATTGGGATCAGTAAGCTCCTAATAAATCTCTGACGCTTTAGCATGAGATCCAACATTTGTTTGACAATTGGTGATCTTGGAAACATCCATGGCTCTAACTGTTACTGCCTTGATGAAGGGATACTTGGTTGGAGGGACAGATTTGACGTTGAAGAAGTACTGAAAAAGTTCGAAGGATGTGAAGAGCTGTTCGGGAGACTAGGATAAAGTGACGCGCTGTCACTCGTTTGACAATGTCGATTTGCTTAATTGCTGATTTACCTCTCGAGAATGTTTTCTGTGGTATTATTGACGAAGTTTGGGGTTTGAGGAGAAGGGAGAGGGGGGAGAATCGTCGGAATTTATGCACAGTTGTGACTGTGGATTAGGGATCCCCCTGATTCGGACTTTGATTATAAAAATGATTCTGAAATATTCAGAATTACAGCGTGTTGCTCATTCATCATAATCATTGAATTTACACAGATGAAGAGAGTCTAGTGACTCCATATTATGACTGGAATCATAAAGAGAGGTTGAGAGCAGTGACTGATAGCTTTGTTACCCAGGCTGATAACGTTTGGCGCGCAATGACTCTAGAAGTAGATGAGTTTTCTGGTAAAATTTACCTAGTTGGCTCTATAAATAGAGTATTCATGCCAGATATGTTGAATTCCTTTGCAGGACTTCAGCAAAATCTAGTCGTGCTGGACATCTCCCCGATTCACAGGTGCAACGATATCGAGTTTGAGCTGGCCACCGAAGATCGCGAGAAGTGTCCAAGGCATGCTTCGAAGATGATTCATCTTCTGAGGTGAATCATACTTCTAAGAAGCTCACAATTTCAGTCACTAAATCTTTGGGCGATGTACGTTTGTATCACATGCCGCTTGAAAGAAGTGTCGTCGTTTCAACATTAGTCTTGTCAGCAACGATCTTAATATTGAAATATTTTTCAAATAAGAAGAATCTGTGAAAATACAGGCACAGCCCACTTCAAATGAAGTAACTAAGAGGGCACATATCATTCGCAAAGTGAGTAGCCAGAGAAGTATACCTAAACTTCCAGGGTCAATAAAATCATTCTCCGAGCTTTGCTTCCAACATCAACACATAGAAATACACGATCAATCACCAACTCAAAATCTAGAACAGCAAACAAAGTGAATCGTCAAATTATTGCAACCAAACGAATATATTGCGAATTGTTTCAGAATGCATACCAGAAATCCCAATCTCCAAACCACTGAACCTTTTAAAAAGAGAAAATAGCAACATAATTTGAACTTTCAATTTAGACCCCGAACCCCAATCGTTTTTCCTACAGAAAAAAATCAATACACTTCGTGCGTACCGAGATACATCGCACCCCCGGGTCTCAATCGCACAACGTGACCACTCATCTCGTATCCCCACCATGTTCACCTTCTTTCCACATCTCCGCTCTTCCCATCACTTTTCTCCTCCTCTACTTCCATCTCACCACAACCTAAACAGTAGTAATCGGTTCCTTCAACCCACTCATCCCCTTACACCCAAGGCTAGAACAACAAACACTCTCCCCACCCGTAATCAACTCACAGCCCGACAAATGTCCATCACCATTCCATTTGCAGAGGGTTCCTCCCGTTCCTGGGTTAGGGTTGCAGCAGTATGCTGTACCAGGGTACGGACAGAATGCCTAGATGGATGGAAGTATTAGTGTATGTTCTGAAGATTTGATGGGTATTGAGAGAAAAACAAAAAAGTGATGAAAAACAAATTAAGAAAGGGTAAAATGAGATACACACATTTGATTTTGTGTGTCCAAGATCGCGCTTCTTCAAGTCCTTAAAAAACGTAGATACGTCAGCCAAATCAAATCAAATCAAATCAATAAACGAGATCAAAACAATCTGTCATCCACATTTCTTTCCCCAAAATCAAACAATTCCCTTCTTTTCCTCTCCCAAAAACAAAACCAAACAATCGAAAAAAAAAACCTCCCCCAACTCACCACACTATTACTAAACGGCAACACGTTATCCTCCGGCCCCGGCGTAAACGTAGGCTTAACCCACTTCCCGACGACCGGTCCACCTCCCGCAAAGGGAACCAACCCATCATCTCTCGGGGGCTCAATATCCACCTCCGGTTCCGGGAGCGGAATTCCCTGACGCGGAATCACCTGTCGCAAAACCTTGTTCGGGATGAAATCTTTGGCTTCGAGAGCCGAGTCGGGGTTGGGGGCTGGGACGGCGATGGCGGCGCCGAGGCCGAGGAGAAGGGTGAGAGAGAGGATTGGGAGACGCATTCTGGCTGGGGAGATGGTGTAGATTTTGAGTGAATGAGCGTGGTTTTGCGAGAGAGAAAAAAAACTGAGGTTGGCGAGCGATCTTCGGATGTAAATGGCACGGCGATTTGAGTCAAAAGAAAGAAAAAGAGAGGAGAGGAGATGCGGCTTCAAGGGGATAATTACCCCTATAAGCATATGCACACTCAAAACACGAAATCTCGGTTCTCGCATTCCTTACTTTTTTTTGTAGTAAATGTGGTATCATGTAACTGAGGAATGATAATTCTAACGATGAGAATGTAGATCGAGGTAGACCAAGAATGTGGAATTTGCCAATTCAAAATTGTGATTTGCTATCCTATTTCGAAAACATATCGAAAAGACCTAACTCCATCTCTGCAATGCCGCATACGCGCCAATTCGACCCCTTTCCTCTTCGCAATCCCAATCACAATCTAACGTTCCATGTATAAAATAGTAAAGATCAAATATTACATCCCAACCACTCTCATCAATCCATAACCAACCGAGATGACCACTAGCCATGTAAGGATACTTGCTGGTACGCCACGAGTGATGAAATGTTTCACTTGTAAGTATCTTTGTCCTGTTTGTGAATCCTCCATCATAATTGCAGCTATCTATGATTAGCATTTCTTTTATCTATAAATTAGAAACGGGATATACATACTCATATTAGGGAAACCACTTGTAGGCAATCCCATAGCAGCACTACACATCAATGTAGCACCCATAACCAAAAGGTTGGGATGTGGCTCATCCATACTTGCTCCGACGCTATGAACTAATGGAAGGATAATGAGAGCTGCGACAGTGTGACTGATAAATGTCGCAACGACCAAGACGAGACATGAGAATACGACAAGTACGCTATAAAGACTCAAACCCTCAACGCTCGCAGTGATTTCACCAGCAATAGTATGCAACAACCCCGACGAGTTGACGGCTTTACCTAAAGAAAGTCCTCCAGCAGCGAGAATTATGATTGTCCATAAGAAATTGTTAAAATCCTCCTTTGTTAGAATACCGGTACCAAAGAATAGAATTATTGGGATGATTGCGACTACCCCCATATCACCAAAGATTGCTTCAAGCTGATGACTTACACACCAGAGAACAATGGTGCCAAGAGTAACAAGGGTGATAAACCACTGAACTCCAGTGAATGCATCCTTAACCGGGCGAATGGGAACGATTGTAGTTCCACGACCAGGCTTGAAGGTAAGAAGTAAGAGAATCCAAATGAGGACAATGGAAATTATACCGACTGGCAAGACGATGAAGAACCAAGTCCCCAGTCTGGTTGTGGAGACATGATTTGAAGAGCGACAATATTCTGTGGCGATGCAATTGGTGAGAGCATTCCACCAATGTTAGATGAAAGTGCAATACCAAGAATAACTGCTTTCGACATTTGAGATTCTGAAGGAAGATTTCGAAGCATGGGCTAGGACTGTTAATAATAAGTTTCAAAAGAAGAAGAAAGGGGTTTCAAGCTCACCTGGATGATTGAGAAACACAAGACGGGTGCTGCGACATTACTGATCCACATACTTGCAAAAGCTGCTACGAACATGTTGGTGATAAGAACTGTTCTTGGCCTCGTTCCAGCCTTGCTTAGGACAAAAGTCGCTATCCTCTTAGCAATATCATATTTGGAAAGTGCTGCAGCTACTGTAAATCCACCAAGTAACAACATGATGACTGGAGTCCACATTGCGGAAAAGATATATTTGGCCGCAGCTGGAGCTTCAAGTCGATGATGAGGCTTTTCATCAGAGCGAACCACGCCTAGAATTACGCAGAGAAATGGAATCATGAGAGATGTAACGAAGAGAGGTATAACCTAAACACCAGTCAATAAGAGATTATAGTTAGGGTCCTCAAAGAGTTTCTTACCTCGGTAGCCCATAACAGACTGACAAATACCAGCATTGCTAAACAATTTTGTTGTTCTGGCTTCTTCATGATTGGGATAAGCAATAGTAAAATGAAGATGGTGATGATTCCAACCAATGTGAACATCGTTGAACTAAATAGCCATCTTGGACATTTTACTCTCCCAACTGGTGTTGATAATTCCTTCATGTCAGCGATGTCGGCATCATCACCTTGCAATCGGAGCTTAGATGGATCATTATCCACGCCGAGTAAAGTCCTTCTAATACCCATATTCGCAGCTTGAGCTTTCCTCTCAATGCCGATCATTTCCCTCCAGACTGTATTTCTCTCCCAAACGACATGTTCTCGTAGATGTGATCGCAATTCCTTCTTTGCCATATCGATGTCTCCTTGGGTTGCCACATCGGAATACATGCGCTCTATCCGTGATATCTTCTCCTCGATATGTTTAAGTGTTTCGGGGCGGAAAGGATATGCTGGAGCTACGACTTCCTGAAGGTATTTCGACTTTAAGTTTCTATCCAATATTTTGTCATATTTCTTGCAAACCTTCTTGAAACCTGTCTGGTTAAGCTGGACGAAAGATTTCAGTTCACATAATGACACATATAGACTGACGGCACGCTTTTTCAAAGTAATCCCTGATGAATAGAAGGCATTGAATGCCTGCTCTGCCATATCCTCGTAGTTCATACTGTTGCGTCGAGCAGGCTTCATTAAATCGGTTGAAGAGCGCATGTCCTCGAAAGCCCCCGTATTCACGTCATGAGGAGAGCTCTTGCTTCTTTTTGCCATGGGTGGTTTGCGCAGCGCGGTATTCTCATCGTCGTCATCATCATCACTATCTTCGACCCCCTCATCTATTGATCGACTTATTGTGCTTGAACGCCTTCTCCCTTTAGGAACGAAAGATTTGAATATACTGTTTTGTCGTGGTCGATCGTTGCTCGATGCTCTTGGCCTGCCATTTCCATTGCCATCTGTTTGGTTGCTTTCTAGAACTTCAGCCTCGAATTCCTCTTCCTCCTTCAATAGCTCTGTAACCTCGCCAAAAATTTCAAGCTCCTTCGATTCGTAAAATGTGGATATTTTTTCCAATTCAGCATCTAGTGCTCTGCGAAAGATGGCATCTGAATCTTCGGCCGGTCTGATTAGAGGGGAATTTTCGGCATCTTCGAGGGCAGTGGATGGTCGATGTACATTTTTCTCAAGTTGGTAGATCCTGCGGAAAAGACATCATTAGCATCATTCAGGAAAGAGTTCGCGCCAAGACTTACAATTTCTTCAAATTGCTATAAGCGATGTAATGACTGCTCCAATCTGGAACAGCATTGAATTGTATACTATGTGAGAATTTCATCTCGTCTGCCTCCTCGAGTCTTTTTCTCTTTTCCGCCCGTCTTCTTTCTCTCTCACTTGTGTGCGATTCCGGAGGTGGATCGTCTCGTGCGCCAGGATATTCAGCGAGCTCAAATTCTTCGTAATCCTGTAGTAAATGTTGGCGCCTATCGTTTTGTAAACTCCCTCCTCTGTCCAGTCTTTTCGAAGATGTTATCTTATCGTTATTGAGTCGATGGAGCTGGTTGGGTTTCGATTGAGAGGAGGGATTGAGAATCACCTGCGAAGAAGCTATCTTGAATGTTCTGGACCTTCAACATCAAGATACTGTAGATGATTTCATATAATTGGTAACATGTTGCGGTCAGGGTAAAGCCTGAGTGTGTGTGCCCAATATAGTGGAGACAAATGATGGTATTTTCGATGTGGTCAAGTTTTGTTCACGCTTTGAACAAACGAAGCCAAGTTAATTGAAATGGTATAACATGATTTGTTGCATTGAGGATTCCAAACCTACGATTATGACAAGCATGGTTAAGATGAATGTGCCTTGCTATTTTTACCGTATCTGTGTCTTACCCAACTTGGAACTTTTATCCACTTATAATGATGAAATGAAGCATGCATGTAATCATTGCACGATGATTGGTCAGAATGCCATATCAAGATCCCACGCTGCTACTCTACCATCGTCCATTTTTTGAATACTTTTTACCTACTAGGTACTCTGCATGTTACATCCGGGAGATCCTCGTGTAGCCAAGATATATCCCGTTTGCTGGTTCTCAGAATCTGCATTGTATAAAGTAACCCCCACGCTGCGGATGACCAAATAATACGTTTATCAATATATTGTGTTCATGGTTCAAAATAATTGATTCATTGCTTGGGTGACTTTGGCGGATCCTCGTGATTTTGTGCAGCTAGACTACCTTTTCAACTCTGGAACCTCCCCTCTGTGGTCCAATGTACAGTTGAACATGCAGTTTGAAGAGGTTGCGAATGGAAGGAGTACTGTGGCACAGCGGTTGATGAGGGTGGAATTAGAACGAGACCCCCAGAAACCAAAAGGTCTACTGACCCCATTTTCACAAGTTTGGTAAGCCCACGGATTAATGTCATTAGTTCACTTGTCTGGGTGTACGGCTGGTTGATAACTCAAGATATCAAGATGAATGGAAGGAAAGTATCTGGCATGCTTAATCAGAGAATGTAATTTTAAGAGCTAAACATTGTACTTTCTAATAGATACCAACCGCCCGACAGACATAATTGGGGTTGCAGGTGATTCTAAGGAAACTTGACTCAACAGAGTTCCAAAATCCTCCTTTATGGATACAATCAATGCCTCTTCAATGATACCTTCAACCTTCAGCCCATCAACAGTACAAACACAAATCCCATCATCAACGCAACAGAGCTACCTCCACCATATTTCAAATCCATAGCCTCTGATTTCTTTGAAGAAAGAGGTCCAGGTGCAGGAGCTGTGGCTGATGGCAAAGCTGTTGTAGTTACTGGACTCGCTTCGCCTCCTGTGTTATCACCACTGACATCATCATATGGATATGAGTCAGTATACTATTGGAGATCAGGACGTTAGTGATTGTCTATTAAAGAAGTACTTTGGGTTAAAATAAAATGTTGCGTTGACAACGAGATGGGTATTTAAGGGGATGGAGGGGTGGTGGGAGACAGAAATAAGCATCGGGCAGGGTAAAATTTTGAATAAATTACATACGTTATATGTGCCATCGGATTTGCCCCACCCATCAACGATTTTTTTCAAGACTCCCTGACCTGAGCCACAACTTGCTTTCGTATCAGGTAGAGGCCAGACTGGATCAAACCTATCTGCTGATAGAGGCCCTGGGTATGATGAATTGAAAAGCAACTTAGTGGTATTGACGGCATAGTTATCGTATCCTGCTTTGCTGGCGACAATACCAAGAACATTTGCACCACAGTCCCATCGGCCAAGCGAAGGGAGTCCCCAGTTAAGCTCTATGGTTGAAAGCATACTATAGTGGTTGTAGAATGTGTCATCGGTGGTGTTTTTGAAGGAAGAAGGAATAGCACCACCGAGAAGGATGGCAAACATTTTGTTCTCCTCATCAACTTCATCGTTCTCATCCCAGGTGAGTACAACCAAGGTATCATTCATAAAATAATCGTTGGTAAGCAAAGGTTCAAGGAACATACGAGACCAATTTCCAGCTACAGTATTATTAGCATCGTGGCCATTGTTCGACATATTCGGTGTGATAAAAGACCACTGTGGTAGAGTCTTGTTTGCCAAATCTGATTCAAATGACTTGAAGCTTTTGATCAAAGCAAGCCTAGTAGCGTTGCTAGTGACTGAATCAAACATCACTAATGGATTATGTTTGCGTACATAATCTTCTTGAAATGGGTTGCTTTTTGAGAAATTCCATCCCTCAAAGCCAGCATAAGGTATATCTTCTTGGTATTCGCCCCAAGAAATACCTTTAGTGTCGAGTAAATCTACAACAGTTGATATATTGGCCGGAATTTGAATGAATTCGTCTGCATCCATGCCGAAGGTGTCACCTCCGACAACTGCACAATAGTTTGGTTGAGAAGGATGCGTTACTCCCCAATAGTTAGTGAGTGTTATGCCTTGTGCAGCAAGCCATTGGAAATTAGGGTCATTGGTAGCTTCTTTGAAATCCTACAACGAGGCCGTCAGTCTATGGCAAATACTGAATGTATAAGTTAATTATATCAAGCATCGATAATACCTTACCATATTCTCGAGCCAAATTTGGACAAACCTGCTGAACACCTCGCCACCAACATTAGAAACAGGAGAAATCGGTTGCTGGGTTGCTTGTGCCGCTATTATTGCAGTAAAGGCTGGCTCAATTGTGGACTGGGGTATTGGTGATGAGACGATCGGTGGTGTAGGAACAATGGCCAAGGTTAAGCCAAGAAAAATTGCACACAGCTTGAGTGCTGACAGATTCATTTTATGTTTATCTGATTTGATGTGGATGTGTGTGTCAAAAATTTGAGACCCAAAAAGAGACAACGATTGTTTTTGATTGAAGTAGAAGAAAGAAAGGAAACAAAAGAAAACAAAAGAAAAGAAAAGAAAAGAAAAGAAAAGAAAAGAAAAGAAAAGAAGAGAAGAGAAGAGAAAGTAGATCGACCTAGGGTCAACATTATAAGATAAGAAGGAGGAGGTTTGGTAGTTCTAAGCTTGTTGAATGAAGGAAGTCGCCTCGCAATACTCGTGGCTTCTCAATCTGGGACACGGGTCTGAAGACCGGAAAAGCATCTCGATTGGGTACTCGCAATGTACGAGTATTGCAGATTGGTTCATTCAACTTCATTGATACCTAGTTTGATTTGTCAGTTCAAAATGAATTGCAAGTCAGGTTTCGTCGCTATCTGCTCAGCTTTTAAGAATACAAAACTTACTCTTCAACCCTGACATTTCAATTAATTGGATGTACCACTGAAGGCTGTCGCTTGATGTAAATTGGAAATACAATGCGTCTTCCCCGAGTAGATTGAAGTTCTCTCATGACTGCCTGAATGTTGGTTGGAGTGATTTTATCGTACGTTTCCGACATCACATTGAGAATCAACCTAAAATCTCTCAAAACTGTATTTGGGTGATTCTCCATCAAGGAAAGATTGCACCTCTCCACGAAAGAACCGTAGCTAATTGCTGTGAATGTCCACCACCGTGCTGACCATGAGTACTCATATCCTCCCGTGCCTTCTTTGCCAAAATAGACATCTACACGGAAGAATCGTGGTCGCCGTTCACGTGAATAATAAGGAGTCCGCATTATCAAACTTCGCGCGAAGGAGATATAATACGAATATATAACGGATCTCTCCTCGATGTCGACCTTGTTGTCGGTACTTGAGAGGGAGGGAAAGTCTTTATATAGAGGAAGGCTCTCTTTGATATTGATGATGGCTCGGAATGGTCAAGTGATAATCGATAAATGGAATGCGAATTCTTTTTAATAATTGTATTTTCAGCTCAACCAAAGAACACTCGCTGAATGATAATGAAAGATTTTGGGTTTTACTGTTTCTATTCCAAATTGTCCCAGACAACACCCGAATAGCGCTATTATTCTACCAACATGGTAGCTACTGCCATTTGTTTATCCTAAAGTCACAAAGACAGCTATATTCCACCTCTTAACCTTCAAATTCATCTCTACAATCTTAATGGTACCCAATCTGGCTCTCATCCTTACAGCAACGAGTATAACATAAGTGTTTATACACGGATAAGAAAACAAACTACAAGACTTATATTTCTTTACAACCATTATACTTCTCTATTATTACAGTATCCATTAATCAATCCGAGCTCCAGTTATTACTTCAATTCTTGAAACCATGCTTGATGGTACATCCAATCGAAAAGAGAACACTCCTCTAGAGCTAGTTCCAAAGAGAATTCGGAGAGATTCTCATCAGGAGCCAACGCCTCCATTCAAGAAACATAAGAGATCCGAGTCGCCAACTAGTCCGGAACCCTCTGCAGGATCTTCTCCAGGATCTATTTCAGATTTCGCTCCGGAAGAACAAGATCTAACCACATTATCTCTTGTAAAAAGATCATTGATAAAAGATGGAGTTGATGCAGAAACATCTTCTGAGACTCCTCCAAGCAAGGCGATAACATTCAAATCACCGCTGGGGATCGGTCCTTCCAGTCAAAACAATGCAGGAATTCCAGAGACCAAGAGGATCCTGGTCACCAAAGAGAATACTCCCGCTTCTCCCCTTTCACCTCAATCAAGCAGTGATATATCTTCCCCACCGTCACCTGGGTCAAGCAATTCTATGCTTCCCCCACCTTCTCCTCGACCAAAGAATCTCAGGCTTCCTCCCCTTTCACCTCGACCGAGCAATACCGTACCTCCTCCCCTTCCACCTCGACCGAGCAATACCATGCCTCCCCCACCTCGACCAACCAATGCTAAAGTATCTCGTAGTAGGAACACTGACAAAGATAAGGAGAGCATGTCATCATCTGCTTCAACTTCCCCGTCTTCTTCCCGAACGCATAATCCTGAGCCACTCAAATTGCGCCTCAGATCAATCAATGGCAAATTCAGAAATCGGAGTATTAATAAAAATCTCGCTGATGATGAGGGAATTGATGTCACCGATGTCACTTCTAATTCCAAAGAAAGTAATATGAAAGAGGGGTTGGATGGAGGAACAGGTACTTCAAAATCCAGTACCTCAACCGTACCACTCCTTACCAGCTCACGGATGATACGTTTGTCGCATTTCTACCGGCGAATCATGCCTAAGCCATCCGAGGCTAATAAGGTGCCTACTGAGGCAATTGAAATGGTCCGAGAACAAAAAAAGAGTTTAAGAGTGAAGAATGATGGAATTCCTTTCCCCAATCCTCCGGGCCCCCCCTATGCTACTACTTACCGTGGGTTAGACTTGAAGACCCAAATAGAAGCTCATAAATGTAACCTTTGTATTCCTTATGGTTGGAAAATTCCTTACCCCCGACTAGAAGATCCTCTTATCACGGGACCTCTCTACCGCGAAGTCCTTCACTTGCGAAGAGATTCTGGCGAAATCATCATTACTGCCATCGAGTTTACAGATGCACCGGGCGAAGATAACGTTCACGCATTTCTTGATCGTGCAGAGAATGATGCTCACAATGCAGGTATGCCTATGAATCTCGAGCCGAGAATACTCGCGGTGAGATGGGGCAATGGAGTGCAGTCTGGTAATCCAAAATACCGATCGATTTACAGTTTTTATCGTGATCCATACATTCTTGTAGTCGGCAATTCTAATGCATGGAGAGTAGCAATTCAGCAAATGCGGAGCAGGTGTTTGACAAAACAGAGCTGGATCATTTGGTGGACGGAGAAGGATTATGATGAAGATTGGAATACGGATGTTTCGTGGTAAAACTGGAGTAAATTTTAGATTAGCGCGTACATCTCTACCGGAACGCGTGGGAGTTCTGCAAATTCTCTCCTTGAAGACATCGAAGAGGAGAGGTAGAGGAGATATGATCTAGGCTCTGCAACTCTTCTACGATTGGAAAATTATGACGGAGCAGCCAACTCCGAAGGCCTAGCTGTCTTTGTCCTTTCATCGCTCTTCATGGTTACGCTTGTGTGAACTAGAAATTAGCTATCAATTTGGTGTGGGTTTGAGTCAAAGGCGTTGTTGGAGCCAGCCTGGAAACGAAGCTTGCGCTGAATTCACAGTTGAAATAAGTGTACGCAACAAATGTAATTAATGGATGACTTTCTTCAAGCTATCAATTTCTATCAACTCAGATTTGTTGAAGAGTAGTCTCTGGTCGTACCAGAATTTGAACATGTGACGAGGCAATTTTTGAAGTACTTGACTATTGGGGCTAGCAAGAGCTTTTTCGAGCATAGAAGTGCCTTTCGTTGCAGTTTGTACCCATTCACTCTTTCAGGTCATTTTGATCGATACGAATGGCATGAGCCCAAAGGAAAGGCCTTGCCTGCACATTGAGTTCAAGTCGTCCTCAAGCTGCCCTAAGCAATGCGTAAGGTTTATGGCGACCTAACTTTGGCATCGTTCACCACAATTCGCGACAGTTGAGTAAGATCGTCCCAAGCGTGTGAAAGTGCATGGTATTCTTTCTTCTGCTAATATTGAAGCGGAGATCGTAGTACAATTTTTGATTTTTGATGCTGGAACCGTGGTCATGTTTGGAAGAGCGTGCATGCAGGCAGTTTCGATTTTCGAGCCCTAGGATACAGTCTCATCAGGTGAGAATCTTCGCATTTTCGGTCTAGAGGACGATACCTCGAGCAAGGTAAGGGCATTGCTGTGCTTCGAGTGCGTTGTGACTCTTAGTATGCAGTATATTTGGTTCAAAGAGGGAAGCATAATGATATCATTTGGCATTTGTTGGAGTAGAAAGATGTCAACTTGTGAAAGTGTTCGTGTAGGACTATTGAGAGATTAACTAGGTCCAAAGTTTAAGTCCGTTTGCCTAAAAAAGGCCATCGGGATCATACATCTCAACCCACATTTCTTTTTTGCCCTCTTTCTTTTGGAATCTTGCGGTTTCCCCTGTTGCGTTGTTCAATTGAAATGATAGAATGAATGTATTTTCATATCCATTGGAAGGACCTTAGCAAAGGTCATGCATAAAATGCTTGTGTTTGATATATCTTGCTTTGAGCACAATCATCACCCAACATATAAGGAGCAACTGCCTCATTTCCATTAAAAATGGAATCTAGATGATCAAGATTAATCATAGTCTGACCATCTCATGGTAATTCGTTGTTTCTGAATTATCAGCGTAACATCTCTTCCCAATACACTTCGTCATCTCTCTCCTCATAGATTAGACTGATTAAGAATATTCTCTTCCTCCACTTGATCTAGTCATTGATCTACAAAGCTCGAATGATCCACCATAAGCGACGAAGATGAAGTTCAACGATCAAGGCCATTTCCAACGCAAATCTGTAGAGGCGGTAGAGCAACGCGGTATTTCAGATCTCCCAATCCGCACAAAGGAATCTCAAGAAACCGATAACCTTCCTAATCCCCAACATCTTGTCCTAATCGAATATCGAATTGCAAACAAAACCTTTGGCACCAGACTCTTAAGTATGGGCGTTCTTTCCATTCATGAGTCCAATTCATATTTCGACCTTCTAGCTGCAATTTAAGGTAAATCAAACGAGTGGGAGAATGTCCCATTAATCTGCAGAGGAGAAGTATTGCGATTAGATGGAAGATCGGTCAAGCTGTTAACGATGATTCGTATGACACCCTCTGTGGCCCTGATGTTGATATGAATGGGCTCATATTCATGTTGCGTGGTAGGCACTGGAAGGATCAACTGCTCGTTGTGTACCATGCAGAGGAGAATGATGGTAGTGATAGTCGTAATAGTAGTGAGAGTAGTAACAAAAGTGATAGTAATTAGGCAAGGGTCGGAAGTCAGGGGTCAGTGGAGTTTCTTCAGAATTGTGATAAGCAGCAGACAGCCTAAAAGAAGATCGGAAGCGGGGGAGCTTTCATCGAGTGACTGCTAGGACTGTTCCTACAAATCAAATGATTGGATTCCAGCATGGATAATGGATCAACGAGAACACTGGCCTCGGCTAAGAGAAATGTGAATAAATTGAACTAGACTAATATCTATGAGAGCCCGAGAAATTTGAAAATTCTAGTGTACATAACAAGCGCTTACTCATCTAAGAAACTTCCTGGATTAATTTACCGTCCATCCCATTTCCACTAGCCTTCACTCCACCTTGAAACAAGGCACCAATAGGACCCTCCATCCATTCTTCTGGTACACCGATTCTATTTCCATCTTTATTGCTAACCCATCGCACAAAAAGTGGATTCGGCTTCTGGGGTTCTCCTTCTGGAGTTGCGTCAACAGCTGGGCCATTGAGATCTCTGCGGCGAGCATTAGTCTTGGGCGCTTGCTTCTTAAGAAGCTTGTTGATTGTTTCCATCTAGAATTTGTGTCAGCCAGGAAAAGACGCAGCGAGTAGATTTTGGGTATTTGATTGAAGAATTTTATGGGATATAATTACCTTCTCTTCCTCGTTCCGTTTCTCACTAAGATTCTTTCTTCTTCGCGCCATTTCAGCACGTCTCATGGCATGCTCCTCGGCAGTCAGATGCTTCTTCACTTGTACCTCTAAAAAAGACATTAGCGCGCAATCGAGAAACTATGGAATAACTTACCATCAGGAAGAGCCATGAGATATCCACTAGCAGCATCGTCGAATCTTGCTCTTTGCCTTCTCGTCAATTTGTTGAGATCGGGAGTAGAAGCCCTGCTTCCATTGGCAGGGGTTTCATCATCACTATCGAGTAACTCATCCTCTTCTGCTGCCACTTCAATCTCTTCATCTTCCCCTTCAGCATCTTCGTCATTTCCACTCTGCATTACCTCTTCTTCCTCAATTTCCTCTCCCAGGTCACTGTCAAGTTCACTAAGTTCATCATCATCATCGTCACTGAGCCCGATCCCTTGTTGTCCAACAGTAACAGCGGGTGCTTTGGGTGGCTCCTTCACTGTGATTTTGGGGTTTCCAGCCGACGCTTTTGAAACCTGAATGGTAGATGAAGTAGGTTGTACGTCCATATCGATATCTCCATCAGCATCTAGGTCATCATCTTCACCTTCCGCATCTGGATCATCTTCTCCCTCGGCATCTTCCATTTCTTCATCCTCATCATCACTTTCCGTTTCCAAAACATAACTTTTTTTAACATTCCTGTTTCTCTTGCCCTCGAGGATCTCGCCACCAACAAATTGATCTCTACTATTAACCATAACAGATGGGCCGGTGATCGGGCTAGATCGTGTCGCCTCTCTCAATTTACTTGATGATGTCTTGACGGTCAAACGCATTGACTCGGGACTATTTGATTGTGGTAGTGTCGGTCCACGTGATACGGTGGCCGACGAGGCGGGCTCTGGATTTGTGCGACGCGATCGCGATGACCTAGAAGATAGTTGTTCAGAAACAATCATTACGTCTTTTGCCTTGGCAGCGGCTGACCGCTGACTGCGACGTGTAGACATCTTGTTCTTACACCGGAATCAAATACAAGATGAACAAATTGAAGGGGGTAGGTGGTAATATTGATGGATTCCTTGATCCACGATGATTTGTTTTGAGGTTATTGATAATACGGTAGAAAGATGTGGAGTGGTCTAAACACAATAGGTGGTGAATCAGATGGCGAGGGCTTTCGGGTCACTGCCTTGATTAGACAGAATTGCGGAGAATGACAGGTGAGCAGGCGCGTTGCATATAAACGCGCTGCTCTTACACAATTGCCCAATCCTGCCTTTTCACCATTGACCAACCACGTAGCTAATAAGGGTCATTCTTTGATGCCTCATATCATACCCCTTGTTTGTACGACGATGGCAAGATATGATTATGATAAAAAACACGAGGGCTAAATCAAAAGTGGGAATAGAGTGGACGGTTAAAGGTAACTCTTAATTACGGAGATTTGCGTGCGGCAATATGGTACAAAGAGCAAAGGGGCATTAACGCCATTGTGAGAATAATGGGATTTCAATATCTGGAGATGCTTCAAAGACTTACTCGTTCTTGTTGGTGGCTGGCTCAGCCCTACCAGCTTTCCCACGGAGATCCGTCCAATCGATTTCTTCATCTCCCTCAGAATCAGTACTGAGTTTTCGTATGCGCTTACTGGGTCGCTCGGCTTTTCCTGACATTTTGATTATCTTGGATATCCACTTCGTGAAGTATGTTGATGCCTATTCGTAGGTTTGAACGTTTGAGGTATGTATGTAGACTCTAGAGTTGGATTGTGGCACAGTTTAACGATCGTTGCTCAGAAAGAAACCCAAGTTTGAAGATCGTATTGGATGGAAAGGGTGATATTGTAATGCCCAATATTAGAAGGATGAAGTATGAAAGAGATCTTTAGATGATACTGAAGTTTAATTGTGGTGATGCTTTGATACTTCCATAATGATAATGTCGGTCACCGCAACAAATTTTGGATCCAATTAGGACTACCGTCAGATTATGTCATCAACCGAGGCACATGCAAATACCTCGTAAATATTGACACCGACAATCTACACATGCAGAGCTTCGAGAGTTTCCATTAATTATCTAGAGGCTTCTTCAACAAGCAACATCTTACAGAATGAGTGATTCCGACAGCGAAACTAAGCATCCGGGCGTGCCTGCATGGCAACTTAAAGGCGACGAAGAACAGTCCAGTGAATCGCAGGCCACAGCCATTGAGCCACTAAGTCGGACAGCAATACTCGAACAAGCCAGGAAGTTCTTGGAGGAAGATGATGTAAAGAATGCATCTACGGATAAGAAGATTGCTTTTCTAGAAAGTAAAGGTCTTGAGGGCGATGATATACAAGAGCTATTGGGTGTATCGCGGAATGATGAAGCGACAAATACATCTATCACTGAGGTGAAATCACCAGATCCGAAGACACAACCTCAATTACTGCCACGAAATTCATCTCCATCTACTCCAACAAACTACGCACAAATACCTCGCGATCAAGCTCCTATAATAACATATCCTGAATTCTTGGTTCAGCCATCTGCTTCTACTCCTTTAATTACCAAACATCGCCTTCTCACAACCCTATATCTTTTCGGCTCCCTCAGCTTTCTACTTCATGGCACAAACACCTTTTTAATACGCCCTATGCTCAACACCCTCACCGAATCCCGGCTCTCTCTATCCTCGGCCACTCTTAATAATCTTCAAAAACTAATTCACAAACTCGAGAATACAGTCTCCGAAATCCCTCCTACCTACCACCACCATAAACCCCTTCAACCCGAATACCTCGACTCCGATGCTGGCTCTGTAACCAGTGATCCCACTGAGCTTTTCCATCGTGACATCGGCGTCCAGACATCTCTCCCATCATCTCCTTTACAAACACCCAGTTCGCCCTCCCTAATATCCCACGCGAATACTGCAACCACAGCAACAACCATACAGACTTCGCGTCTCACGACTCTACAAGGTACATTATCATCCTTGCTGGAGGACTCAACCTACGAATCATCTACGAGTGAAGAGCTAGAAACGAAAATGTCTATATTAAAGGAATATTTACAAGGCTTGGTGTTTTCAACACCTACATTTAGTTACGGGTCAGGAGGTTTTGGAAGTGGAGATAGGAATGGAAATAATAAGGAGGGAGAAGATGAAATTGCAAAGGTCAAGAAGGAGATTAGGGGAGTGAAGGGAGTTTTGCTTAGTGCGAGAAGTTTTCCCGGGGGTGTCAGGGCGAGATAATGGAGGTTGGAAGAGCAGGATGTATCAGGATCAGTAGGTTTATTAGATGATAATATATGAGTTATGAATGGATGCTCAATTCTTGGAAACCATTTGAATCTCTATTGATAACAGCCAGTGTAAGTTTGAAACGAGTACGAGATCACTCACTACGGATGAGATTTCTCAACTCGGCAGATTCCAAAACAATTCTGGCACAGCGCTTGATACACCAGACGAGAACTCGTCGATGTGTATCTCATCAGAATGATTGGGCTCAATTTTGTGTGTCTTTAGATGACATAAATCGAGATGATTTGTTTTTCCAGCATTCTCCACCATCATGGTCTCTGTACTTGATTTCCAAGAAGGTATCAGATTCTGTATCAATAATGATGTTTCGCAGGCTAGAGAGGTAAGTAGCCTCTTTTCTAGCGCTGAAGTCATTGGACTATTGCTTTTTGTATAGTGTTTTCCTCTTGTGCCAAGGTCAACCCGTTACTCTCTACGCGGGTCATTAGTGCATTGTTTTCAGTATACTAACCAGGAGCTTGCTTACAAAACACTTCAAAAAATGATGTCAAACGTCAACACACAAGATCTTCATAAATTGTGAACCAGTCTCCCCAGTTGCTATTCTTTCCTACTTTAGCTTTCAACTTTTGTACAAGAATTGTGACCTGAAGCAACATATTCATCTGGGATATTAAGTTCTTTAGTGAAAAGCCTGAGTTTAATCTAGAATGTTACATTCGGTGAGTGAACGTATCTACGGATGCCAAATCCTTGCCACCCGTGATTGGACTCAGAGACCATCGAATTAAGGAGTGTTTTGGCTGTGGTGTGTCCTGAGTGAGTTGGGCGCAGGCTTGGGGACTGTAGATCATGATGAGCGGCTAAGAAGGACCATAGGTTCAGATAAGCCAAAGGAGGTGGGCTACTCGCATCAGGGAAGTAGTCTTTCCAGTTGAGACTCAATTTACGAGCAACATATGTATCATGAGCTTCGCTTGGAAGTCCTTTCCGTAAGGCCTTCATCAAGGGGATATGACCAAGCCAGATAGAATATGGTTTAGTGACAGGCTATTCCTTGTGTAAGTGCTTTGCGCAATTTATACTTAAGATTCAACCATGAACCACTCACCATGCCCTGTGCTTGCAACTTGCGGAACCTCAATTTGATTGATAGGCCTCGATATAGAATATGCGCTGAGTACAGTAGGACAATGGTACCTAGGTACCAGGCGATACTGACGTGAAGATTCGTCTCCAAAATCATGGCGGCAGGTGATGATCGGCAGCTAAGTAGGATGCCAGGAAGTTCAAATTGACGTTCAAAAGTTAACAAGCACAATGAGTTAAGAACTGTACACTGTCTGTATACCACAGCTTTCTCACTGGGTCTGATATGTCGACTCGAAGGTTCTCTAATTCAATTCACATTTACCAGAAGGCAGGAGGAAAACTTTTGGCGGACGATCTGTTGGAGTCGGATATGTCCACGCGTAAGCTGTTATCCCGTTGCATTGATTTAATATCATAATGTTGGTGATTCTGCTTCAGGAAATTACAGCTTCCTGAACAGGGAATACTTCGCTTAAACTACTAGCTGCTGTAACCGATACCCACCGTGGGACCGCTAACGCTGCCCATTCCCTGCACGCTTCTGCATGAATGCGGCGTTGCTTCCAACATCCTTCGCTGCTCTGACCACACCCTTCGAGCATGTAATACGACCAAACTTCACTCTATTTCACCTGCATCTCTTGACACCCTCACAATTCTTCTAGACTTCGACTAGCCTTTTGGTTCGCCTTCAGCCTTTTGGTTCGCCTTCAGCCTTTTGGTTCGCCTTTAGCTTTTATTTAGTAAGCCCGCTCCTAATCTCCACCTAAAAACATACAATCATATGCTCTTATTAAAAACATATGTTTATTAGTTGACCTCAGCGTTACCATCGTTCTTTGAACCCAAATAAATACCGTTACATTACATATAATTCATGTCAGCATCCCTTGATTATTCGATCGACCTCACCATATAGCCATCCTATCCCTGCTTTTTGTTGATAACATCACAAATCTACCGCTGACTTATTATTCCACAATATCTCGGAGCAGGAAATACTTATCAGGCTCATGAGATCCTCGTTCGTATCTCCGATCTCATTTTGAAATTCTCTTTGACTAGAATAAGTTGGTGTCAGAAGAAAAAGGTATTTTTTGCATCTATCCGATTGAATCTATCCCAAGCAACTTGATCATGGCGACCTTTCCACCCAAACCAATCCGTGTCTGGCTTACTCGTAAGTAGTTCCTTGTGTTGTTGCCCTCAGAACTGCAAAATTAACTATTCTCGCAGCTCCTGGGCCTAATTCGTGGAAGGTAAGCAAACAATAGTCCTGTTTTAAGTATGATATAGTTACAGACTGTCTTTGCTGACGTATTTTTACATAGGTTGTCCTTGTTCTCGAGGAGCTCGGGCTCAACTACGAGATCAAATCCTTCAGTTTCGCAGACGTAAAAAAGAAGCCCTTCATCGACGTCAACCCGAACGGCCGCGTCCCAGCTATCGAGGACCCAAACACAGGTCTAACTCTTTGGGAGTCAGGCGCCATCCTCCAATATGTAATCGAACAATACGATACCGAGCATCACCTCTCATATGAGGGTATCAAAGAGCGACATCTTTGCTCCCAGTGGCTACACTTCCAAATGAGCGGCCAAGGTCCTTATTATGGTCAAGCCTCCTGGTTCCAGCACTTGCATGTCGATAAAATTCCGTCCGCTATTGATCGTTATTTCAACGAAATTAAACGGATCAATGGTGTTCTCGAAGGTGTTCTCGCTGCGAAAGAATCACAATGGCTAGTTGGTGACAAGATGACTTTCGCTGATCTGGCCTTCATGCCATGGAACTTCCGTCTCAGTGAAGTCATGAGCCGACCCTGGGATGAAGTTTGGGAGGGACTACCCCATGTACGAGCTTGGCATGAGAGCATGGTTGACTTACCGTCGTGGAAGCGTTGTATGGAAATTCGTGCTCGCTGTATGGACGAGCAGGGGTTGCAGTGGAACGGTGTCCCCAAGGGCATCGAGACTTTCAACGACTATGAGAAGGAGCTTGCTGCAAGAGATGAAGTTGAGAAGTAGTCGTGAAAGAATTCGATGCTAGATTTAGTCTTTAATAAGAGTAGCATGGCCTGTGCTTATTTTACCAAGAGTTATCCAAGATGACAAGCTATATTTAGTGAGTGTACTTGACGCAATGCGGTCTATATGTGTTGTACTTTGTGTGCAACTAGACCAAGTAAGATACGCGCCCTGATTCATCCCATCTTGACTTTTCCTCTTCCTACTTGTTGCTTACCTGGAATTTCGAAGACGTCTTACTTGTTTTGCTTCAAGCACGCGCCTCTAAGGAAAAAAGTTCGTTGGTGCAGCAGCACCAAAATACCTCGCAGAACAAATTGAATTTCTATTCACAATCTAAAATTGGAGAAGATTGATTCAAGGCTTTTGAATCAGAGTAGGATGGCTGAGAATGAAGTATCAACGAAAGCTGAACGTCCCAGCTTCGACAGTAATAAGTAATAAGGCACGCGCAATCAATCTTACTTCTAGAAACATTACCCAGCATTGATAATCTAGTCGAGAATCCTTCAGACAACATTCAAATAGTGCTCCTCCAAAGAATACTGACAGCAGGCTTGGATATACCTTGCTACGCACGAACTGCCAACCCGCACTAGTATCAGAAGGATTTATTCACGTAATTTAATAGCTCATCAACTATTTGGTCACTGATTGTGCATTCACAAATGCTTTTGGATCATCCACTCCAAGTACCAAAACTTTGAAAGGTTTGGCTTTTGACTCTACTAATAAAACAAGGAAGGAGCGAGATTTATTGCTTGCAATTGTGAAGAAGGAAAATGTGGGTATTAGAACAAGTTACATTTATTGCTGATGATGCAAATGATTGATTGACAATGGGCATAGCTGTTATGGATAATTATGATATTCGATCGAGTCTGAATAGCCTGTCTATTTAGCCCATCTATCACCCGATCTTGATATCATGTGATCCGTTATGTCCCTGGCTCTAGACTGGCATTGACGCATGTGTGAGCTGATATCTAACAGGTCCGTGACATCTAATTGCCCTTGGGCCTCTTGTCGATCTCTGGAGACAGCTTGCATGTCTCAGCCGCAGTCGCAGTGGTTGCGGTTGCGGTATTTGTGGTGGCAGTAGGAAGATTTTCTATTCCAGCCGTGATTGCAACAGGATATTCGATATAATTGGCGCTTGTGATGATGGTAGTATAGGAGGTGCTAGTAGTGGTGCTACTTAGAGTTTCTACGAAAGTATAATTGCAGTACGCAGCAGTCTGATGCTCCAATCGGCATGTCTCAGCAAGGGAGGCCGTCACCGTGTCAATAGCCATCGAAAGCTCACCTATCATTATGGAAGGGCCATTAGTGACAGTCCAAGGCTACACATTTGATCAAATCAGTGGTTATCATATATAAAACATTTAGATTTTGACTGTTTGCGGGAGCTCGTTACCGGGTCTTTGGGATCACAGGTAGTAGTAGGAAACCCGGGTAGATTAAGGGCACCCGATTTGCATCGGATTTCGTAGGTAGTAGCGGTCGCATCGCCTGTGATAATGCTACCTTCAAAAGAATAGTTGCCTGACCGTTTCGCCCCCAGGAACAAGTCAACGACGGTTTCCGTGGGAGCCGACGTCACTGTGGCATTTTGGGCATATGTTATGGCCGCCAGAAGGATTAGAGAAATGCTCAGCTTCATGATGTCAGCTAGCAAAGACTTCGACGTCTCTGTAGATTTGAGGGGGAAAATTGATTGTCTCAAGGTCAGAATTAAGTTTTCTAAGGAAGTCGCATAGAAGCGAACAAGTAAATTACAAGAACCCCAGAGATTGAGTACAAATAGGCATATGTCAAGGGACAAAAAAAGAAAAAAGAAACTAATCATATTGGCTGATAGTGTCGAATGGAATGGAACACGAGTGATTGGTTGGATCCCCGCAGATAGTAGCGTAACAGTCGGGGACACCACCATCTGCCCTTACACATAATGAGATTCTTCGTGAGATCTCTCTCTACTTTTTGATCAAATCTTTCGTATCGTCGGTTTTCATATACGCACAAAAAACCGCCGCGTACAGTTTAAGCTTTACTAAAGCGCAGACCGATGCACCAATGCTTTTCAGCAGTTTCAAGTATAGTGGTGCTTTCTGGACGGAGAAGGTGGTTTCATGGGTGGGAAACTTGGTAACATATAACTGTGAGTCTCTCTCTTTTATCCCCCCCCCCTCCCGTGCAACTCTCGTGGTACCATTTCGTTCTTCCTCCTAACGAGACTGTAGATCATGACTTTGGCGGGCACTTTCCCGGGTTGGACAACCCACCTGCTCTGATTGATGATATAAGACAGATCGGAAACTACTGGACTGGCTAGTCAGGGGCTAGTCAAGGGATATAATCTTAATTATCGAAAGGGCAAAACATCATTGGCTATAATGTAATCTAAGCAGAAATTTGTGAAAGAACCTCAGAAATTTGAATTCTCTAATTTCTTTCACAGCAATAATAATGACTAACCCTGCCGTCTTTGCAGAAAGATATAACGAACAATTTCGTGAATTAACACACCTTCCTCTCCTTCCTTAAAAAGAGGAACAAAAGCAAACATGTGCCGGATGTAACGAACTGAGATTTTTCGCTGTATTACTATGCCAGCTGCCCAAAAGGGAGACGAACAAGCACTATACCTGTTCACTAACTCATATATAGTGGCTTCTCAAATCCCGTTTTCATAATGAAATCCGAAGCATATAAACCTGACACTGTTCTCTAAAATACCTGTTGCAAGTTGTTATTTACTTCTAGCTGAAAGTACATCAGAGCTGAAGATTTTGGGCGGGGAAACTCATTTTGTAGCTTCGTAATCGAACAGAGATGAGGAGGTGATATACGAGACTTGACGGCTTGAGATATCTTCCTGTGATGTAAGAGATCGAGGATTATGAGGTGGTAAGATATCGAACTATTAATATCAAGGAAAGAACGATATCGAAGGGTTCGTACATCAGTGGGTTCAAAACTGTTCGGGAAGGTACCATATCAAGTTCCTAGTGTCCGACACTGCTAAGGTGGTCAGATGATGTTCTAATCAAGTCAGAACATTTAGACTCTGGCTGTTACTTATGCTGAAAAAATGAAAAATTTGTTAATAGTATGATAGCAGTCTAATTGATTGAAAGCTTAAAGTTTTAGTGAACACCCTCATCGACCACAGAACCCGGAAAACCAACAAAGTGTCGACCACCATCCAAGAATCACTGTCCGTGATTATCCAGCGATTTTATTCACTCTTTGAATTATTTCTGTATAAGACTTGAATGAACAGCAGCATAAAATTGAGCTATAAAACTCGTGTAGTAAACTCTCTCCATAGAAATGCTCTTTGTGGCCAACTTCCAATTCCCAAGATTTCATATTACGATCCTACAACAACGAGTTCCACAACTTGCAATTTCTTGAACATCCTCTTCCATCGATTTTCTTGTCTCTGCCGGTATGTCCTCCATAAAATTTCCAGTTTGTTCTTCTTCCCCCGCGGAGTGACGATGAGATCGTGCTTTAATGTTCTGGAACGGCACACAAAAAATCTCAAACTCTAAGAGCCACCCATTGTCGGAATATCGTGCGGCCCTCCCTGCATATGCCATCCAGGAGAATTCAACTGCTCCAATAATAAACACAATGCACTTAAAAATCCCAAGGGACGCGGCGACCCACATCATGGGGTCGGATCCCTGGCCATCTTTTCCACCCAAGGGCTCTACGCGGGAGAACAGCTCAGTGACTACCGCCCATGCTACTAAATTTGCCACGAAGTTAACTGTGAGCGCGCAAAAAATTTGACTTATGCTGTGTAGTATGTAAATCTTGTTTGGTCGTTCATCGAGTTTTTCCAGTGAAAAACTACGGATATACGACAGCAAAGCTAGGCTGTACATGGAGGGTATAACGATAGGGAGAAGCCAGACGATATCACCTGATACTGTATCTGGTGCTGAGCCACCAAAGAAATGTCAAAAAATGGCAGAAATAGTGCAAGTAACGGAAAGGAAAGTGCAGAGGATTGAACCGAACATAATTGTGTGTTGGATCCGATGATTTGCTCAAGTAGGAATCGGTAGTCGATTTTTGTGATATGTGGAATGTATGTTTTGTGGAGTTTGAGAAGTAAGAATCCTGAATGATGATATTAATTCGCGCGTAAGAAGAGTGTCACTGCGAGTAAAGATGACTTTGGTGGTGAGATGGAAATGATTTTTATGTAGTAGAGACGGTTGGTAACCAGTAACTAGACGAAGTCCTGCTTATGCATCATTGGGTGTAATTGCCATCTAGGAGTCGAACAACAGCTGAAATTGACTAAAAATCAACCGGCGTAAGGTTTCAAGTTCAATTAAATCATCGCTTTAGGAGACTAACTGAACAAAAGACGGTCGGTACAGTTGTGTCACGAAGAAGTGTCTACCATACTTGACTAATTCGTAATACGATTGTAGTGATCACTTGAATTCACCATGGTGAAAACACCCAAAAAACCAAGCAAAAACCATACAGCATTGAAGTTGACACGTAGTCATAAAAAGACGGTTGGGATATTTCAATCGTGATAGTGAGCTTCGTCTTCAACCGTCCATATCATGGATGCTGGAATTCAACTAGAAAATAGACGAGCAAAAGATGATACCTGACGTGATAGGGTTGGAGAGACATTGAGAAATAAACTGAACATCTGTGATTTTGATAGGCTGTGAAGGGAGGTAGATTCATAGGATGACTTGGATTGCTATCTCTTTGAGGACGGAGAAATATCGTGCGTTCAAACGTGATAATTTTCTATCTTCCAAGTATGCTACCATCATGATTTGGGTAAGATAAAATGTCAATGATTGTGATAGTATTTTTGTCATTGACTGATTCGACAACGATTTGCCTCAATCGCGGTGGGACGAGTTTCAAAGATTCTTTCACAAAGGAAACCACGTAATCAAACAAGAGGCGTAGAGGAAGAGGATAGATACGGCGTCGACGATAACCTTTATCTTATCAGACACTCGGTCCCGAGCTACAACGCCCCCACATCCACTTTTCAGTATCTCCAACGTCATTTTTTGAACTCCAGGTACTTGATACATTGATTCAAAACGTAAGTCGTTGAAAAAGAGTAACTGTTATGCAATCAAAACTCAGCTGTCACAGTCAGCCACGCAATATATCCACTATCTGCTATCTATTGCTTCAACAAGCTCGGTGTGACTCAAGAGCTTCTTCATAAATATATAAGATGGCAATATCTTTCTGCGTTGAGGGCTTTACTCTAGCCTCCGACACACGAGAAACATATTCACTGCAAATACATCACACGGTCAGCCTCCAACAAAAGATTCAACATGCCACCTCCACAGGGCCGTCGTACCTCATTCACTCCACACCCTGGATGGGCAGCTGTGGATGAATACACAATGTCAAAACTTCATTCCACTCAAAAACCAAATCATGAAACGCTCGCTCACGCTCTTCGAAATTCCTCAGAGAAAGGTCTTCCGTCAATAAGTTCATCTCCCGCACAAGGGAAATTCCTCGCGTTACAAGTAAAATCTATGAGAGTTAAACACGTGCTGGAAGTTGGAACTTTAGGTGGATATGCATCGATTTGGATTGCTACCGAAAATCCAGACTGTAAGATTACTACGTTGGAATTCGATCCCAAGCATGCAAAAGTAGCCCGCGAAAATATTGAGCATGCTGGAGTGAGTGATAGAGTTGAAGTCTTGGAAGGGTCGGCGGTGGATATATTACCTGGCTTGTTGAAGGAGGTTGAAGAGGGAAAGAGAGAAAGGTTTGGATTGACATTTGTCGATGCTGATAAACTCAATAATTGGACATACTTTGATTACGGAGTTAAGATGAGTTATTCCGGAGCTGCAGTCTTCTTGGATAATATGGCCTGCAGGGGAGATTTAGTGAGAGAAGATCGATTGCATGATCCTCATGTTGAAGGCGCAAGAACTGCAATTGAGAATGCTGGGAAGGATGAAAGAGTCGACTGCGTAGTCATGCAAATCGTCTCGGAGAAGAATTGGGATGGGTTCTTGATGGCTGTTGTCAAATAAATTAGCTAGAAAGATAAATGACTGTCCTTTTTTAAATTGAAAAATGAACTATTTTCCACTGTGACTGGCCAGTGCTAGGCAATTATACCCATCTTTCGGGCTACAGCCCTAGTAGATTAGAAGATAGTGTACGTAACTTGATCCCAAGATCATGACCTGATTCACGCAGTATGCAGAGGGCAATATAGAAGGCTCATGATGTATTTCGTTGCTGAAGTTTACGAAGAGGCAAAGCTGTTCGAATCAATCCACTTTCGAGCGCATACATTCTGACTCAGAAATATCTTGAGGAAATTGAAGGACAGAGTTTCTCTGGATGGTGAATTAGAGAAATAAAATATGTTTGAGCCTAATATGATGCTATTGCTACAAGCTTATCGAGATGACAAATTGCTTCGTACATGGCATATGTTAGATGTCAGTCATGTCAGACTGCGAGGCTCACACCCCTTTCGGAAGTAGTCTCGCATAAGCCAAAAGCTATATAAGCCGGTTACATTATATAAGTATTAGGTACTCATTAGAGGACTGGGCTGTTTGTTTAATCTTTCCATATTCATTCATTGGAATTGTATATGAATCACTGTGACCACCATGGCAAACTATATATCTGTCATCGTATGCGTGTATAAGTTACTAGTTGTGGCGCAAGCAGCATTGAATATCACACTCAATACAACCATCTTCATAGATCCAGTATCGACCTATTTAATACCTCCTAATTATCATGGGAACATCAGTCAGACCTTTATCGATACACAAACAAGCAATACGAATTTATCAGTCTTACTCACTTCCGCAAAGTCCAGCCCATTCATATCCTATGATCCTGAATTCTTGAAACTTCTCGGTGCAAATCCCACAGCCACTCTTATTGCCCAGCGAAATTATTCCTTTGCGAATGAAGCCGGTATATGGGTACCGGATCGCAATGAAGTCTGGTTTACAAGCTCCTCAATAGATGACACCACGACGATCTCGATTCTGAACCTCAACACCTCCAAGATATCCACCCCAAACACCAGTATCCCATAATCAATCCCAATGGAGGCACTTATTTCGACCATCTCGTATATTTTGCTGGTGATGGTAATGCAACTATTTCTCCTGCAATCTACGCTATCGACCCAGCCACGGGCTACGCCGAAATCATCATAAACTCCTACTTCGGCGTTCCTTTCAATGGACCTAACGATCTTACATGGGTAAACCACCATGGAACTCCCTATCTATTCTTTACTGACGATCCGCTCTCCTCTCTTTACGACGGTGGACCATCAGCCGTTCTCCCAGATGCCGTCTGGCGTTTCTCTCCCACAACAAAGTCTCTTATTCCTGTTATATCCCGTGCGGATATCTTAGTACCCAATGGAATCAACGTTAATGCCGCCATGAATACCCTCTATGTTACAGATACCACACCCATAACCACAACAGATTCTGGTGGATACAATTCCGGCTCCAACGCTATTTATAAGTTCGACCTCGATACTGACATGTTTCCTGTCAATAAAAGACTTATTGGAATCTCGAGAACGGGGATCCCAGATGGTATTCACATAGATGATAAGAATAGGATATGGACGGCCGAGGGTGAAGGAATTGTAGTGAGAAATAATGTAGGAAAGGTATTGGGGTTGTTCAATGCGGAAGTCTTTCTGCATGATCCGGCTGGAGAACCAGGGATTGAGATTGCAAATTTTGCGTTGGCGGGCGATGTCTTGGTTGTGGAGGGAAGTGGAAAGTTATGGACTGTAAAACTTGCGGAGGTGGTTGTAAGTCCAGATCGCTATGTACTTTGATGTCTAGGTGTTCGCACCAACTGGTTTACAATAGTCCAAACGAGGAGAACGGGACTACTCTTACCTGATATGTTCCTTTAGGCTAAGTAGATGACTATCGTACACATTGTCATTATGATCAAACAAAACCAACAATCTTCCCATCCGCTACCACCAGTCTTCCGTCCTTGATAACACAGCTGACGTTTCTAATAACTTTTTCGAATCCATCTTTTTCCAGATCTCCGCCTAGAGCCACCAAATCTGCAATCCAGTCCTCACCCAACCATCCAAAATCCTGCCCACACAACTCTCCACCGCAAGCTTCCCATCCTCCTAGCGTAGCAGCCCTCAACACATCAGCCACATTGATTCCAGCTTGAACCATTAATTCCATCTCTCTCGCATTCTCTCCATGGGGGAATGGCCCTGTATCACATCCTGTGGCTAGTTTCACTCCAATCTCCCAAGCTCGTTTTGCGTGCTCTTTACAAATAGCAATTGCTCTTCCTCCATCATTTGCCTCTAATTCTACGACCGAGAGTGTAGGGACATAGATTGTACCCATTTCCTTCATCACTTCCAATGCCTTTTCACTGGGCATGAGTCCGTGCTCTACGCTCGTGACACCTGCTTTAGCAGCCATTATTACTGCCTCTTCTGAGCTGGCATGGCTTGCCACCGGCACACCAGCGCGTTTAGCTTCAGCTACCATAACATTCATTTCTTCTTGACTCCAAAGAAGAGAGTTTGGGTTTCTCAACTTCTCTCTGGGGCCAAAAATATCCTCTCCTCGATTTCTAGATGGAGGAAATTGAATGTCTTCGGAACCTTTATATGTAGATGCTGGATAGCGTAACGCACGTCTCCGATACTCAGCATAGATTTTAATGACATCAGCACCAGCCCCAATCCTTCTTCTCACACCTGCTCTGCATCCTTCAACCCCATCACAAGGGTCGCTCAAACGCGGAGTCTCCGTCCCCCCTAACTTATTCTCTTGGCGAATCTCATAGCTTCCACTGGAAGCCAAAGGTTCCGTAGCGACGAACAAACGCGGTCCGGGGATGAGACCACGATTTATGGAATCACGGACACCAATATCGGCATTATAGCATCCTTCAGTCCGAGGTCGCGGTACGTGGTATATCCGGCTAGGAGAGCTAGACGACAATTGGTCGTGGCACGAATGGCGCGGGAAATGAGAGATTCGTCTCGTTCTTGATTCAAATATGGTGAACCAGCCTCATCTACACGGTGGAGGAAGACATGAGTGTGTACGTCTACAAAACCTGGTAGAACGGTTTTTCCTCGGAGGTCGATATCATTATCTCCGAGTGAAGAAGAAATTGATGAGTTTTCTCGCGTGCTAACTCTCGTTATTAGGCCTGTCTTTGTGTTTACTTGAAGAGAAACATTTTTATCGAAAGTCTTGGTGCGACTGTTGAATAGGGTAGTAGTGTGAATCCAATACTCGTGGTCAGAAGAGAAAGAAGAGTTGAAGGGTATTAATTTTGCGATTTTGAGAGAGTTGGCTGTGGCAGATTGTGACGCCAAAATAGATGTGGAATCAGACAGAGTAGACCCGTGAGTAGGATATTTCTTCGTCATTTTTTCCGGTATTTGCTGAGACTTCAATTTGGGTAACACTGAGAGCTAGGTCAGCTTGTCGAATCTTCTCAGTCGATTGACAAATCTAAACAGCTGTATAACATTGTGTACTATAAGATAAATATATATTTCTTGACTGGTGTTTAGCGCTGACTAGTGACGTACGTTTCGATGATAGTGATGGAAGAGAGCCTGTAATCATGCTGGACACGGTGCAAGCTACAGCGTGCAGAGTCCGCGTTACAAGGCTCTGATAGGGTCATTCGTCTAGAGAAGCACATGCTTTTACAAGGGCTGAGTCGGGATTGACTCGCTTATTCCGAACTCCGTTACTTTGTCGTGTCTTATTCCGTCCGAAGCAATCTACCTAACTCTCGAGTACACAATTGTTCCACATAGATTCTAAAGATATGCTTATGAAAGAATAATTAATCTTTTACTCACTATATTCTAAAGGAACTGAAGAGGACCGTATAGACATTGCGACGGTGTATTTGCAAGAGTCATCAATCAATCAATCTCAACAATATACAGATGATTCGAGAGCCCAGCTTCCTTAACGACGCGGTCGCCTAGCATTGAGGAGTCCAATATGACATTGAAAGTTGCCTATTCCATGGCTCAGAGCCGGTATCTGATTCTAGAACCCCGAGTAGTATGCTAGGAACAATAATCGAAATGGCTACCTCAAGCACGTTCGAATGGACGTGAAGACGTTCGTCAAGTGTGTTGCATTCTTTGTTCATTGTAGAAATTGATGCTATGATTAATATTTACAGAGTAGACCATCAACGGAGATGAACAGAGAAAGAAAAAATACAGAGTATGATGATAATGATAATAAAGAGCACCGAAATTGCAAGACAAGACGTAGAAGCTCCAAGAAACAAAATGATCGCTGCTAGTATCCATGAAACGATCTTGTCAACCTAGCTCCCTATACCCGCCCAGTCTTCTCGTCGGCTACTCTAACCTTTGTTATCAAATTCTGTTTTGTTTCGCCACTCGTAGTCTTCATGCCACACTCCTTACACATCTTCTTCAAAGCCATAATTCCTAATTCTCGATACGCAGTCTCTTTCTCGTCAGTCTCCCTAAGTTTCATCGCTAAATCAAGTCTTTTTGTCCCTGACTTAAATTTTATCCCACGTTTCCTGCACATTATCTCGAGACTAGTTGCCGATAAATCCTCTTACTCTACCGACCCTGTCTCAAGCCATTTGATGCAAGTAGCTTTGGTGCCCCAACCCTCCATACCCTGTCTCCGGCACATGTCTCTCAGTTCCCTCTCGGTTCTTCCGGCCCAGTGAGAGTCTTTCCAATCATAGTCACAGACTGGCCCTGGTTTATGTATTGGCTGATAACTGTTGACTATTTCATGGTCGCGTCTCCTTATAGCATTATATCGTCCCATCACGATTGCGATATCTAGAACAGGATGACCTATGCTTTTCTCTAGATCTTCCTTCGCTTTGTTGTATTCAGCTTTGCGGGTTTCAAGAGACGCGGTCAGTTTGTTGATAGCATCACTCATAGCGGTTCTATCTTTACCCTCCAATTTTAATTTCTGATCATTCGCGTGGAGTTGCTTAATCACAGTTTTCTCCCCGCTGTGTGGAGATAAACCCAAGGCAGTTGCAAGCTCACGGAGCGCTGGAGTCCAATTTCTCATATGATACATTTGGATCAGATAAAGCCTTCAAAGCTTGTTCTTTTTTTTTTGATGAATTCCTCTCCAAGGTTCAATTGCACATACAACTGTGTGTCTTCAAGTCTTGCAGAATCATAGAGAGCCTCGTCGCTATTTTTGAGGCGCTCGATTTTGATTTCTTTGCTTCCGTGCTTGCGTTAGTCAGGTGGCGATCTTTGAGTATTAGGGAAAGTTCTTCGGAAGTGTAAGATTCGTAGTTGTATGGAGATGTCTCCAAGCGATGAATCATTTCTTCCCGTGTACCGGAGATTTGAAGGTGTCGATCTCGTAGCAAAACTCGGAGCATACTATTATCTTTCTTGGCATATGGCGAGTTACTAGACACGGTGCCACTTGTTGATGGCTCTGCAATCGGATCAATCTCGTCATCCTGCTCAACACTACTTTCATCAATATTTTCGGCATCGGTAGCTTCGTCAGTCTCCCTTGCGGAGCTCTCCTCGCTATCCTTGTCATATTTATCCAGAATTTTTAGTCTTTCTATCAAAGCTGCCTTATCATCATTACTGTATTGCGGTATTAAGCGCTTCCAACACTGTTCTCTCAGTGACTCAAGGTGCATATCTTCATACTCAAGAATCCCAGTCTCAAGCCATTTGATCATCGCATCCTTTGTTCCATACCCTGGTGCACTTTTCTTCTTGGCAATTCTACAAAGCTCCCAAGCATTGAATAAACCCCAGTTCGTCTTTTTAGGATCATAATGCAAGGCTCCTCGGTCCCCAGCTTTCTTCGTAACAACAGGAACATCGTATTTCGACGATTCATGCATTGGTACCTCCGTTGGGAGTGGATGGCCTATCTTATGCTCTAAATCCACCCTTATATCCGCAAGTTTCTTTTCCCAACATTCCAGCTCCGCAGGGGCTTCAGATCCCATAAGTGTAGATATCTCGAATTTGTTCTTTCGCGCCAACTTTTGGTCATCCGCCTTCAACCAATCGATTAACTCAGAATCTTCACAAACAAATTTTATCTTTCTTCCTTGTTGTCTCAAATCCATTAGGGTTCTCAATCCCGCCACTTCCAAATCTTGGTATGATTTCTCCCCTTCCTCGCCCTCAGCCCAACCAATCAGTTGTTCATATCTCTGTACCTCATTTTGACAAATCACAAGAGTAGTGTACAAACTGCGTTCTTCCATGTTCCCATTATCTCGATCCAAAGCATCATCTTATCTCAGTGGTTCAATTCGCGCTGCTTTCGTAACTCCACTACATGGAAGCAGCCGTGCACTCAAAAGTGTGGAAAGTTGATCGCAAGTTAGACTCTCATAATCATCGCCGTAGCCCCTCATCTCATGTCTCTCAAGCCTCTCAATCATCGCCTTCCTGTCCATACTTTCCACCTCCTGCGGCTCCATCACTCGCCAATCGCGTAACAATGCCCTCAATTTACTATTATTCTTTGTTCTATAATTTATTCGATGCCCATGTGAGCTTTGTGAGGGAACTGCGGCCGCATTTCTTGAAGATGTCGCAGAGGACTTCTCGGTGATTGGCGCACCCGGAGTAGCCAATGCCTTATTCTTGACGGTCCATAGATCTTTCAGGCCTTCTTCGCGACTTTCCATTATCTTTGCACTTTACTCCGCAGCATCTATCCTCGCAGACTTCCTGCGCTCTGTCTTTCCTGAATCCTTGGCCGCGACATGCCCCTCGTTGTCCCTTAACCTTTGGATTAAGACATCCTTCGTCCCGCTACTCGGCATTGACCTCTCCATTAACATCTCCACCAACTCTCCTTTGCTTTTCAATGCGTGATCATCACTAAGTGTAACATCCTTCTCCTTATGTTTCTTCTTCGGTGGCAGAATCGCATTCGTGTCGGCCTGCCCCAAAGGTCGTTTCGTAGGTGGTATATTGTTATTCGCGCCGTCAATATGTGGGTATTAGAGCACAATTGATCGAGTGAGATATAATCTCAGGTATAAAGTGGAGAATTCTATACTTTAATTATTTTGATGTGTGAGTGATTACTTACTTTTCTATCTGACGTGACAAGATATGACGTCAGAGCTCTTCGGCTCAAATAATCGCGACCACGCTCGAATGGTTTCAATGTTTGAGAATTGGATGTCCGATATTATAATAGGATCAGCGAGCGGCTTTGATGAGTCAAATTTTCTGAATAATCTGGAAAGTTCTACGATAGATGCATTGGATATTTCACGGTGACCCTTGTCTATATCCTCATCTCTTTTGCTATTGTACGATTATATCACCCCATTCTTACAAGAACTGTGCTATACAATATCCAATAAATCCAAGTCTATACCCACCATTCCTATAATCAGGAATTAATATAAAAAATATATATTCAAAAAAGCTTTCCGAATGTATTGTACCCGGTAAATAATTCTTTGATTTTGGCTTTAGTCCTTCCATACACCATTACCATATTTTCTCGCCCATTTCTTTCTTTGATGAGCAGCCCCATTGAGCTGTCCTGGCATGAGTAGTCGTTTCAGGAGGATTGCCCTAACTATCATGAAAAGCACGCCTAACCAAACGACAACCAGAAAGACACTAATCACGGTGCCAACAACTCGAATAGCATTGGATCCAAACGCCGTACCAATTTGTATCGTAGCTGTGGCTAGTGCTGTATTTGGGAAGACGAACGAATTCCTAAACATGTTAGTAACAATGTTTAAGGTGTTTGAGATGGGAGGATTCTTGCCATGTCATGTCTGCACTAATGTGATGTTCCGGGTGATTAGGTTGCATAACTTGCCAATGAGCGCCTACAGATATCAAACAGAACCAAAGGCATAGACCCCAGATGAAGAGTCCTGTAAAACTCCCCATCAAGTATAAAACGAAAGGGCCCTCGGTATTGCCAAAAATACCATTAGGTAAGATGGTCGTCTGCACCGAATTAGAGAGAGAAACTATCGCTGTCACTGTGAACCCGGAAGGGCCCACCGATACGAACTATAGATACTTAGTTATCCAGTGGAACAATAATTACAAGTACGACTTACCATTCCAGGTCGTGTTGTCTCTTGGGGGAGTTTCTTGGTCATTAATCGATAGAGGAAAGCACTGTAGATCATGAGACTGAGGAGGAATCCAATTCCTTGGAAGCAAACTGCCCCGAAAGCTATAGCAGTAGAATTGATGCGTGCAGCCGCGGTTGCATTTGGTAAAGTAGAGATAAGATTCGCTGCAACTGGACCAGTCAGTAGTAACGGGTAGGCAGGGAAAGTCCAGAGAGGAGTCATATTAGCAATGGGAAATTCTCTAAGCAGGAATATAAGCAGATGTTTTGCAAAGAGGAGTTTATACTCAGACTTACTGAGTGGACCAAAGCAATAGGTACATTCCGGATGATGCAACTACACTCAAAGTACAATACGCCCAAAAGCATACCTGCATGGTAGTTTGAAACCACAGGCCAGTCTTCGGGATTCCATACTGACACATGGTCACAAGAATTGTTCCCACTCTACGGAGATTCAGACGTGATTCTTTGGCTGAGGCAGGAAATTACTCACGATATCATCTAACAATACATTAGACAGGTATGTAACAGGCACTAATACTAGAATCGACTTACACAAGCAGGAATATACAGAGATTCAGATGGACTAAGGAAAGATTTAGAGAAACTTCCGGGGTTCCATTTGAAGCGAAGAGATATTAATATACAATTCATTACAAAGAATATAAGATTAAGGAAGAAGACTATTTCCCCTACTATTCTCAGCCAATTCGATCGATATGGGACTGTAGGATGTTAGAGCCGGTCTCAAATGTAATTGTATCGAATGACATACTTGAATAAAGGACATTTGCAATCCCTCCAGTGGCCATTGTGAGAGTGAACCATGTCCAGGTAACACAACCAATGCGATCACGAATACTGATTTTGGCAACTGCAGTATCCTCAGTGTCCAGCTGTTGATCCACTCCATTTATTCCATGATCGCCTCCCGCATCGGAGGGATCTAATACCGCAAAGCCTCTATGGCTTGCATTGCCATTGGTATAAATATTTCCGTTCCCATTCCCGTTTCCACTTCTATTTCTATTTCCACCCGCACTCCCATTGGCATGTTCAGAATTGTTTTCTATATCGGATTTTTGCCCTCGATGCCTGTGAACGCTTTCATTCGCAGATGAATCATCTTTCAAATATGAAATCTGAGGTTCGTCAAGGTCGGGTTGAGATGTATCATTCATCAATCGTGGTAGAGGTGACGTAATTGACATTTCTTGAATATATCTTCCTCGGGTGCCGTTGCACAAATCTTTGATAATGCATACAAGACGAGTAGAAAGAAAGGTCCCAGCGAAGTGAGAGTGAAAGTAAAGTTCACCAGAGTCGTCAGAAATATCAGAATTTGTAGAACGATTGATCCAACATTACTCAAAGCCATGGTGAACGTAGGTAGTTATAGAAGGTGGTTCTGGAAAGACTCCGAAAGAGGGGAGGGGCGGATAGGTTTCTGGAAGAACGGCACTATTTTGGGGCTCAAGGACTTGATTTTACTTTGTAGTTCGGAAGAAAAGGCTTCGGCAGAGACTTGGGATTGGTTACTGGCGACTGGAATTGGTCGAGCGTTTGAGACTAGGTAGTATGGAGGTTCCTTGGATTTGGCATTTGGGTTTGAGATTATGGTTGTGGATTAAAGAGAGGCTGAGATAAGACTAAAACATCGAGCACCCTTGAGTATAATTGTGGGTTACACCGTCACCAACGGTTTTAGCGTGGGATTTAGACCATTTTGAGCGGTAGACAGGGGCAGAATCTTTTGCCGAAATCTCCACTTTCAATATTAATTAATTTATCTCTCTCTCTCCCTCACAAGTAACAATCAATGTTTACCAGCGATAGTGAGAATCACACATTTGTTCCTCTCCTCATCTCTCTATCAACCAAAACTTATCAGCGACAGTGAAATACTCACATTCGTTCATGCCTGTCTCATCTCAATGTCGCATCTTGTTATATGGGAGATCACGAGATAAGGACCACATCTCCTCCTCGATGGGTGCAATTTGATATACTATCTGTGTTACACTACTAACCTTCTCTCTCAATCTGTCTCCTAGTGTTTATTTTTTACAATATCTCTTTTCATTTTCCTCTGTCTTTTGATTTCGTTAAATTGATTTCTCTATCTTCCTCATCGTTTCCATCAATTGTTAGTTGCATTGTTCCTCTTCACACGTGGATTTTCAAGGCTTTTCAAGGTTATTCTTGACTACCTTCATCAGGTTCATCGCGTTCTCTATCATGCTCTCGAGGACATTAACTTTTGGTCCTGTTGCTTTCTCATCTCTTTCGGACAAACTCTCCCTGCAATTAGAATACGAGGTTGTCATTAGACTACCGTCTGGAAACCTGGAGACCTTGTCGGTTGACCAGTGCCTGAAAGCGTTGACATCGGGGGAAATGTGGGTCGCCAGTGGGAATTCATGCCGGATTGATTTCGTTATTGATCTTGATGGAAAAGAATCGTTTGGAATTAATAACAATCATATCATCGAGATGTTGGGTAAGTACGTCGCAGAGTCAAAGGTTCGTCAGATCAACACTTTGGAGGAAAATTGATTTGCTCACTATTGAAAGATATGGGAACAGCTGGGATTATCCGCAATACTTCATTTGCAGAATGAACCACTACAGACGAACAATCTTTCTCTTCAGCTAAATAATAAAGATCCTTCAAATTCACCGATTCTCGGCGTTCGACCTTGGACATGTACAACTACCGATATTAGGATACCAGACGCACAACTCTGCGCTCACATGGAACAGCTAAAAGTGCGATTATCATTTCGACCCAAGTCTGGAGGGAGTCAAACTTCAAAAAGACGGAAGCCATTTCTCCTAGATTCGGTGGTAAGCAAAGGCTCCTCTCAGACATTGAAGGTTGCACAGTCAGGCACGCCAAAAAAATCTTTGGTTATCAAATTTGGCCCCAGTGAGAACATATCGTCACTTCTAGAAAGGTATTCCGACGCTAGTAAACGGCTTCAAGCTACTCAGGCAAGTATACCCGCTACATCGTCAATCGTTGAAGTTGGCTCCAGAGTAAAGATTTCTGAAATCTTGAAAGAGTGTTCTGAGAGTTTATCCTCGAGTATCGCATTACATGCTGCACCTGCTCTATCTCAATTGAGCTCTTTCATAAGTTCGGGTCCATTCTCCAAATCTCTGTTAACTTCTAGACATATGACTTCCCCGAGTAATTCTCGTAAGAGGATGAAAAGGGCTCCTGAAGTTTCACAGAGAGCGGAAACTAGTCCTTCAACCAAGCAAGATGATGCTTCCACGGCACCAGAAGATATAACGTTTGACAAAATGCTGCTTCCATCTAGTGACGAAAGACATCGTGCTCAAGTTTCGAATAAAAACCCATTGAAATCCTCCACTATCGGAAGTCTTTCCCAGAAATGCAATGCGACTTTCAATTCTCAAGATGAAGAATACGTATTTGATCCTACAGCATCATGCAAGCTCGTCACCGCAGCGATACAAGTAATGATTGCTGGAATCGAGACGAGACAGAGAACGACAAAGGGAGTAAAGATTGACAACATCCCAGGCATCTCCGCTATTCCTCTGGCAGCCTTGGGTCCAGTCATGTTTTCTCCAGGTTTCAAGAAGGTAATATCATCACTTTTCCAAATCAAATTCAATTACTAATTAGCGTAGTCGGTAGCTCAAAATTCTCGCTACACTCCTAGGATCATCCAAATGATGACCTCATTCGCACGCAATGCCCAAACACCAGGCCTGCGACAGAAAATTGAGCAGATTGCAAACATGCCGACCTCCGCATTCGTCAACAAAAAAACTGATGAAGAGATGCATGGCGAGCTAGGCTCTGAGAAGAGGCTGACAGTTGTGGTGAAAGCTCGACTATGGTCAATGATGCAACGAACATTACATGATCTATCAGCTGCTCGTCAGATTATCAATAAACGTTCGACTTCAGAGGATGTTGTTATGGCTAGGGGAATTGATGAATGTGAAGATCTTTTGGACTCTATCGTCGATGACGCTGACATACAAGATTCAGCAATGGTGGATGATGATTTTCGGTGGATTGTGGATAATCACAGTGAAAATTCGTCATTTGACAATATACTCAGTGATGATGAAGGTACACCAGACCATGGATTTGATGATCTTCTCCTTGAAGATGATGTCGGTTTCTATGACTCATTGTTAAGCGGTGGAGAAATGGAAAGATTGACACTAGAGTCGGACTCCGAGGAGATGTTTTTCGGCCACCGTTGGCAACTTGAGTATGAAGAACAATATGATGACTTGTTGTTAGTCGTTGAAGGCTCAGGTCATGACGAGTTGTTACTTGAGGAGAATTCCGGTATATTAGAGGAAGGATTATCATTTAACAATGATGATCTACTGGTAATTTGAATTCGAACCGGATCATATGGCTGTTGCACGAGAAATTAAGATATCAAAAGCCCGGACTATAGTCTATTACGTCAAACCGCGCGCGCTTCGTGATATTCTCCTGGCGTAGCGAGCGCCCGGTTTATATTAATTTATTTGCTAACATCAAGGCGAGGGTCTTACACGTTGATTGGAGCTGATATTCCTAAGGGGCTTTTGTGGTAAGCGATCGGAAGTTTTACGATGTGGTTAGTGAATGCTGGTGGTGAGAAATGGATCGAAAACGGCATAAGGAATCGGGCGAGAGCATGACTACCAGTTTGTACTAATGTGTTATATCAAAATAAAACAAAGCTAAAGCAAAATAATATCAAGTATAGTCATATGTTTGAGTCTTTTCATTGAAAAATGTTTGAAACTTACATGATTGACACAACCATTCGATTAGCAATAAATCAACAATCCCAACTTTTCGGATTTCCTTGATAATGACTTGAGAACTAAATGTTCTAGCTAATATTTAGATGAAATGGCTAATTTCTCAGACGAGCTATGCTAATCGAGTTGCCATATTAAAGTGAGTTCAATTTTGCCAAATACTGATCACTCGTAGATGCTACGGTTACAATCATAGCTGAGGCCCACTACTACACCCGGTGAAATGCTCTCGTAAGACCATTTCCAACGGGGATGATTGAAACAGGATTCTTTCTTGGCTGGCAGACCACGCACGTATGACCTCTTTCAGCGCCGGCAGGTTAGTATCGATCCGACGACTCTCTTGGCGTTTTTGCGGAGTCTGTTACGTCGTCGATACCTCCAATCCCAGAGTTTGCTGATATTCTGCTCTGGCCAGATCGACATAGATCATTTCCCCACCTATACGTGGAGAATAAGTTTGCGACATGATTGCGTTGATTTTCTCTTTCGCATCTACAACACGTTCTTCGCAGGCAGATTTCTCCGCTTCGACTCGGTCAATCTGTCCTCAATACTGATATCTGTTGCTCATTTGCCAACCGGAACCGACTCTGCCTCCCGTTCTATCAATACATTTTGCGCTTCAATAAGCTGGCGATTCATAATTTCAAGCTTCAGAATTGCGTGCATCCTCGAGCTTTGATCGTGTACGCTTGATGATCCTACTGAGCATCTTCCAAGACTCTTCTGCAACTCTTCTTTCATTGATTCGAATGTCCAACAAGCGATTTGTGCAAGACCCTGGACTCGCAACTTGCCGCCATCCAGAACTTCAGTTTTCCCTCGAAGACGTGTTTTTTTGTCCGAGTCTTCACGAATAAAACACTTATTGCGTCCACTCGACAGATAGAACGCGGTATTCTTACGAAGTTCAAAAATGCTAAACCCAGTTCCGATTCGATTCTCATTGTTTTGCGAATCCTAGTATGAATAAATAACACGAACCCAACGCTTCGAACAATCAGTTCCCGGCAGCAAGACGTAAGCGCAAATCACTGATTTCCTCATACTCATAACCTACTATCAAATGAGGTTTTCCACTGCCATTATTTCCATATGCAAAGATATTGTAGTCTGAGCCGGCGAGAACCTGGGGGATTGCTGGTGCGATGCTTTGCTGATATATAGTCGTGTCATTTATTTCAGGACCAAAGATATTGCTGAATGCAGGAAGACTTGTCCATGGGTGAGAGAGCGGCGCTAGTGGGCATGGAGTGGAGATGGTTAGGAGAGGAGAGGAGGTTGTGGCCAATCTAGCTGACGAGGGTCTTTGGATCTGACAGATCAGGAAGACACTCGACCTTGAGATTGGGCGTGGTGGGGTTACTTTTGTGATATATCTGGCTGTTTGTGGAGTCGGATTCTATGGCGGACGCCAGCGGTTGTGTACATCTAGGGTCTTGGAGGAATCATTCTTCGACATTATACATGTAAACAAACGGTGCGAGTAGCTTAGGAATCTGAGAGTGGTGAATTTCATCCAATTCCCTGATCAATATCTAAACGTTTTGATATGAATCCCTTCATACTCTCTCAAAGGAGTTGACAAAGGTATTACGCATCACTTGGCAAGATTGTAGAACATATGTATTATTCAGATACGCATGACTGCTATGGGATATCTGAATTGTGTTGCACATTAGATAATAAAGATGTGCTTTGGGTCCCTTACATACTCGGCGTACAATGGTAAGTTACTATCCTCGAGCCATCGTTGTTTGCCGATTACGGTATGTTGTGTTGGAAGTTGCGGTGCGAAGAAGCATATAAGCTAGACCCAATTGGTACTAGTGAAGATTTAGGACAATTGGCGTTCTTCTGTTCTTCCGTTCTTCCGATCGTATCCTTTCCTCTTGACCAAATTCACCATAGTCTAACTGCCCTCAAATTCCAGCCTTATTATACTTCTCATCGCTCCTCATGGTCAAAGAGTGACCATCAAGTCTCGTTCGTCCTTCCGTTCTTCCAACATCCAATCATCCAAAACCTTGTGGTTGCATTGGAACGAATCCTTTGTGGCTCGGACGATGTGACAGCTCATTGGCTCCATATATTAAACGCGAAGTCCCATGTTCACCTGAACTTCAACCCCCTGCCATCACCAACGAAATCCTCGGACCCTGATTTCCATTTCTACGTCATCTCTGCCAAGCATCAAGATTTCTTCAAAAAAGACATGCGAGTCGCACACTGCCACAATGTCCAAAAATCTTGAAATGAATCCCTTGTCGTTACAATGTGTGAATCAATTACCTCACCGCCAACCATTCACATACGATGATGAACTACTGCTACGGATCCTGGAACACATGAGGACGCACGATGATCTTATTTCTATATGTATATATACCGGATACTAAATACTCGGTCAAGCTGCAAGTATCGACAAATAAATTCATCGTCACTTCTACTGAAACATAACAACAACAACTAAAGACCCATAACCAGCCTCCTCCAAAACTTAATTTTTTTTCATCAAACAAAACTTGATCCATACCCCCATATTTCTCATCTCTCGGCAACTCTAATATTTATATCGAAGATATCGATCTACAATATTCCTAGAAATCATTCTTTGGAGATCAGATTCTACACAACACCTTCAAGTTAATTTCCACCGATAATCATACCGTAATCATGGCTTTCGCATTCACCCTTCCTCTTCGCATCCTACAGGCGGTCTTCTCCATCATCGTCCTTGGTTTGATGGCCTATGGTATGTACACATTTCCCCTCGCATTCCTTATACTCATTACTCACATTATCTAGCTGCCGACGCATGGTCCTACTGGTGGTCACCCGATTCCGTCAACTTCCTCGTCTTCACAGCCGTTTGGACTATCCTCGCACTCATCTACCTTATTGTCGCACCCACTCATTTCCCAACTGCAGCACATAAATATGGAATCCTATTTGCCGAGGCCGTTACCATGATCTTTTGGTTTGCAGGCTTTATTGCCTTGGCCGTTCTGCTTAATAATGTCAACTGTGGACATTCCAACTGGAGCGTTTGTGAAGCTAGCATTGCTGGAGATGTCTTCGCCGCTTTCTTGTGGTATGTATTCCTTTCTCCGTTCTCGATAATCCTTTGATGTCGCATAAAAATGGGAACTAACCCTAGGTGAATAGGTTGCTGTTCCTTGCTACTACCATCATGGCCGCTTTACACGTTTCCCGCAGCAGTCGATCCAGCGATCGTCATGATCCTGCTATGGAAGTCGCTGTCTAAATACTATTCTGCGAGTTGGGGATACATGGATACGCATCGAGGCTTGATACCTTCACTTCTATGAATGTCTTTTGAATATAATTGGTTATGGATGATAATATGGGGGCGTTTGGCATGGGGTTGGGGTTTGGTTTTGGTGATGAATACGTGATTACGATAAACGAGATACAAAGGGGGATATGGGGTGATGGAGGGGGAGGATGAACGTTCAACTTTTTATACCCAAAATTGCTTGCTTTTTGTCTTGTTGTTGAATATCAATATAATCATTCTGATATCATCTAATGCGTGTGTTTATATTGAATCTTTGGTGATCTGACACTATGTCTATATAGGTACTACCCTACTTTCTGACAAGCTTGATGGAGTAATTCCGTTTTGATTCTTTACCACACTGATAATTGCAAAGCTTGTTAAATATTAAATCTCTTGCTATCATATGTCTATTATCCTTTCTGGCGTCGTGTAGTCACGATGTATTTGGTTGCTTTAAATCCTCACCCAATATTCGAAATAGATGATAGATGATATTGGGACGAAACTGTATGTTGATGTGCCTAGGTGGTGTAATCATGAGGGATTTATCTAGAGGAGAGGGGTTTGTGGGATAGGATGGGATGGGATGTTTCTGGTTTGAGGAGTGATGGATGGATAGCACATGACCTTTGGATTTCTGCTTGAAAATGATATAGTAGTGTACCTCATGAGAATTAATGTGGAGTCTCATTTCAATATTATGCTATCTTGAATTTGACGCGTGCCTTTATTGCAGCCTGGAATCCGATACCTATCATATATAACCAAGAGAAAAGTAATAAGAACAAGATGCTTAGACCAGCGCCATCCCATTTTCTAGTCATCTCGTTGCAACTCTGGTCCTAGGTGCGAAAATTGAAGTACTTTGTCTGGACAATGTACCGTAAAGGAAATTGAGTAATACGCCGCTACGTGATTCAAGAAACGTTCGCAGCAATCACAGAGAGAGTTGCTAACGACGATAAAAAGACCCTCGTAATATTCTGGCCTTATAGGTAATTCACATTCCCTGGCCCAGTTCGTCATTCGGAAGCTAGGATAAAGCTTCGCAACATAGTTGTGGATCCAATAGGCTATGACTTGCTTCTCACCGTGACATGCGTTATAAGTACCTGGTTTTCTTTGGTCCTTTTGATTATTTTGTAACTCATAACCTATACTTTTACACATTTCCTTGACTTTTTCAGTCCATGTATCGTTCGGGATAAATGGATTTGGACATCCTGTTGCGAGTGACACAGGAACCCAACCGCTGATAGCATTGATGATTTGAACTTTTGAGGCATCGAAGTTCGGCGGTCGTCGTGTTGGTGGTGGTGATTTTATTGGTACATGTAAACGAGCTAAATGAAACCTTGTTAGACAATGATGTTGAAATACCACCAGGCTGGAGGGATGAACATACCTACTGTCTTTTCCCCCGATTTCACTCCGTACTTCTCCAGATGGAAACTATGGACCCGCTCGTACAAATCGATAGTATAGTACAATCCTTGTGGTTTTTTCGAATGATATTCAAACCAAATTGATCGATCCCGTGATTCCTGGGTGGGCTCTTCCGGGACTTCGACTTGTTGACAAGGAGCTAGAGCTCCAGAACAATTCTCACATAGTGTCGATGCGAAAATGGGGTTCTTGTCTGAGGAGTTGTTTGTCTCAGTTCCATCTGAGGGAACCGCATTACGGAGATCTTCGTTCTGGACATCTTGTTCTGCTGCAAACTTTCTGGCAATCCTAGGGGAATCAAGTATAGTTGAACCCAGCTCTAAAGCTGCTTCTATGATTGTTATGAGTACATCATTTCGGCGCTCGATAGCCAAGTTTTCATCGCCACCTTTCGACTGCCCTCTGTCTGCAGTCTTTTCCAGAATACTATTGACTTTACTCAAGATACTTTCGAACCAGGAAAGATCAGGGGTGGTATCCAGCGTAGGATAGCGATCCAGCTTAGGATCCGCATTATTCTTTAGTTCGTTCCAGATTCCCTTGGGCGTCTTTTTCATGGCTGGTGTTTCGAGTGTAGCTTCGGACAATGCTTCGATCAAGCCACTGATGTTGTTCGATATATCTTTGGAATCATTTGCGCTTTTAGAACCATTGTTCCCGTGAGACTGAGTGGCGGGTTCATCTTTGACAAGGGTTTCATCTGCTTCATTTGAACATAGCTCTTGTACGACAAGAAAGTTATTGGGTTCAGTCTGACTCTGTCGAGACTTAGCGTCTTCTTGGGCTTTTTGGAGCTTCTCCGATGCAACTGCCTCCTTCCTTGATTCAGACGGAGACTTTAGTCTCGCGCTCAAAGTCTCCGTCATCTCCGTTTGATCACTAGACCTGGCTTTGCGATTTGTGTGTAGAAGTGTTATTTATTCTTTCTTTTGACGCGTGGTCGATGGGATATATTTGTCTGGTATTTGAGGTCGAAGAGAAAGTTGAGTATATGTAGATTATTGAAGGTCTTGCCTTCGCATTTGTTACCCCTCACTTCAGTTGGTAGTCTGACACAGCCTCATAGCATTATGCGTGGTCGCACAGCATAAACGATGTTACTGTGTGGGCGATTTTGCAGTCAGCCTTGTATTTGCCTGGGCCAAAACAAATGCCTAATTGAGTGCCTTGGCGTCTATTCTCGAGAAAATCTTTCATGGAACTTGGAAAAAAATCATGGGATATTCAAATCAACTACTTCGGTTGGTTGATGTCGTAAAGCACATCTTAAAACGTAAGGCTTTCCAACAATCTCAACAAATGTTGTGCTTCATCGCCCATCCCATGATGATGATAAACTCAATAGGCTTTCCAGTTATTACAACTTTCAAGAAGCTTCTTAGTCTTCTCCGTATCAAATATATCCTCAGGATGTATACGAGATTCCACGTGAAAGTGATCGGAAATTTCAAAGTGCTTTTTGACCTTCTCGATAAACTCCTTACAATCTTTGCAGATCTTTCGACTGACAACTATAAGGGCACCTCGTGGGGCCGAAGCTTTGATCTCTCGGTAGGGAAGAGTATTTGGTAGTTTCATATTGACTTGATATCCTGCGAATGTGTTCTCGTAAAGATACCAAGCAATTAATTGTTTTTCCGCGTGACATGCATGGTACCTGCCGGGAAATCCATAGTCCAGATCTTTTTGATGGGGAAGTTTATGGTTGATGATCTTGCAAAGTTCTTCCACTTGCAGTGTCCAGGTCAAGTTCGATACAATATCGTTTTTTTGGAAGGGCTGGTCCCAGCCACTGGCTGCGGTACATCGGTGAAGACCATTTATATTGAGCCGAGCTTACAAGAGTGTGTCAGCGCGATTCAGGATACCCCGTTGAGGAAGTCTCAGGTTCTGAGTTTATAAGTCACTAACCTATTGCTGTTTTCTCTCTAGGTATAGGATAGCTTTGTACAACCTGTGGTACGAGCTGACATAATTCAACGCGTTGATCAGTCGAGTTGTGGTGATATCGGAACCAGCGTGAGTGATCTGGGTTGATATATTTGAATTCATTTGTGTCTTGTGAGTTCTGGAGACTTGTCCTTTCGAGTGAATAAATCAACAAATCAACACTATCGGCAAATGTGTTGAGAGAATGATCGACCGAATCCGCAAGCACGTTAGAAGCGACGGCGTAGTCAACATCACCACTAGGAGCATGATACTCTACTTCTTCGCTTTTCTCGAGGGATCTACTCAAGCTTTCACTTGTATCATCCTTTGAACTAGTGGACCCAGATACTTTGGGATCCGCGTCTCTCCGTTTCGCAATGATGGCGTATAATTCTTGATATCTCCTTTCCTGATTCTCTTCACTTTCTCGGTGTCTTTTCTCCTGGTTCTGTTCACTTCGTTCTATCATTTGCTTAAACATGTTCGTCGCCAAATTAAAAGAATCAAGTTCGGTTTGGGTTCCAACTTCTGTAAATGTGCCCGCGATCTCAGTAGCATTTTCCTCTTCGACTCTAGGGACACCCTCGACTTCTTGCTTGCTACTTTGATCCTTTTCACCCAAACTCTCAACGGTGGCCTGGGTAACCTCTTCCTGTGAATCCAGATTTTCGATTAATTCTGCGACCTTAATATCAATTCCGGCAGTGAATTCTGGTCTTCCTTTCTCAACAGCTGCCTGGAAACTTCCGTCAGCCAATCTCATAACTGGTCCTTGCCCCATGGGTATTGTTTTGATCGCTTTCAACCCCTTTTTACTCTTATTTCCAGTCTTTCTCGATCTTGTCACTTCCAGATTCTGTCCTCGTCGAGACTTTTGCCTCGGGGGAACAGCCAAATCAGCTTGTGACATGTTTGAGCCATTCTTTCGAGCCATCGTGGGCTGGATAACTTCTGGGGGTTGGGTCAAATTCGTAAATAGTTCCAATGCGAACAATAAACTTGTGTATATGTTTGCTCCTTGCGTGTCTGTTTGTACGCATGCGTTGGCAACTTGAGTCAGCTATTGATCTGCATGGTTGCACAAAATGAGAACCACGTGCGGAACACGTGCAAAGTTACCAGCTGTGTTGAAACAAGAAATAGAGCCAACATCTATGTTTATTAAAGACCGCAATTAGTCTCGCTGATATATATGTTCCGAAAGTCTTAATTCTGTTGACTGTATCAACCTGTTTTATGCGGTAATCACCGAAAGCTAGTCCAGATCCGTATACAACAGTTGGATCTGAACGGCGCAGATTGGTGAATATCAGTACACGTGTGGCACACCACTTCGTACGATATGAAATTTATAACTTCTCTGGGAGTCTTCTCTCTCAACACTGTCCATAACCATTGGTCAAATATCTAGATCTTTACTTCGATGTTTTGACTTCCCGCGGCAGTATTTTGCGTCAAGCGTCGCCTCTATAGGAAGTAGCATTGGCTCATTAGTTTCGTCCCGATTAGAGACTGTCTGTATCCAATCCTAACTTTTTTTTCATTTACAGCTTCGCTAACAGTCTCAAGTCCTGCAATATGTCCCAATCACTAGACTCCAAGGAGCAACCTCCTCGTCGCTTCTTTGGCTACCCAAAATCGGTTGAAAGGTCCCAAAGTATCATTTCATATTCGAAACGAAGTTAATCCGGTTCAAAGTGGCATACCATTGGTTTTTGTTAGGATGGATGTGAGTAATGTCTGATAGGCAATCGTCGCTATTTTCAATAGACTAATCAAAGAAAATTTTCAAGCGTTTCCAAATTCGAATTCATTCAAAGGTTCCTATACACTACTGCGGGTTTCAATGTGCTAAGAGAGCTTGACTTGGGGCATGCCAAAGAAAGATGGACTGTATAAAATATCTCCTTTCAGATTTGTTGATCTCGTTTCTAACATCACTAGCCTAACGTTGTCCCAATCGCAAGCGAGGCAGATCTTCCTTACATCCCAAATATCGATCCATCATCATTTCAAGATCTTCTGAATAATATTCCAGGTCGATACCATACGGTATTAGATTATCACGCCAAGTATCTTTCTAAAGAGCTCACCCCACTCGCAGTCATAGAGTCTCTCCTTCCCCTCATCCGTCGGGAAGTTACTGTTCCCTCTCATCATTCTCTTTCTTTCATTGCAAAAAATGTCTCGTCTGTTCTCGCGGCTGCCAAAGAGTCAACAGCACATTTTGCAGCCGGAAAATCATTCGGAATACTCGATGGAGTGCCAACAGCCATCAAAGACTCATCAGATATAGCTGGGTATCAAACCACGAATGGACGAGCTGAGAATGATGCGTTTCCAATAGCGGAGACCACCACTTGGTCAGTGCGAAAGCTGGAAGAATAAGGCGCGATCATCCTTGGTAAGACTAGCATGTATGAATATGGTACCGACACTACAGGCCTCAATCCAAATTGGGGAACGCCCCAAAATCCTCATAACAAAAAGTATTATCCGGGTGGCTCTTCATCTGGCTCAGCATGCGCCGTAGCAGCAGGGTTGATGCCCTTTGCTTTTGGGGCCGATGGGGGAGGAAGTATCCGTATTCCCACAGCATTTTGCGGTATATACGGATTCAAACCTACGTTTGGAAGATTAGAAGATATTGGCAGTACTGTCGCTGTGACTGGCCCTTTGGCGGCCACGATGACAGATCTTGAAGCGATGTATCGAGTCATGGCGCAGCCAGATCCATCAGAACCAACAGGTCAGTTTTTTGCGCCGCCGAGCACAAATCTCACAGCGATTTCACAAGCAAAAACGATAGGTATTTACAAGCCATGGTTCGCGCGAGCCGATGATTCAGTTCTTGAACCTTGTCAAAATGCCGTAGACTACTTTCAGAACGAGTTAGGTTACACTGTGGTCCCAATCGAAATTCCTTACATTTCTGCAGGACAAAAGGCTCATGTGTCAACAATACTTGCTGAACTTGCTATTCGCGCACGCGCCGATCATCTACCCAATCGAAAGGCTACTTCTATTTCATCTTAGCTTGCTGATCTCAACCCCGCAAACAAGATAGCTCTTGGAGTTGGCGCACAAACGACTGCTCAAGACTATCCTCTCGCACAACAAATGCGTAATATCCTCATGCAACATCTTGCGTTTCTGTTCAAAAAGTATCCGGGACTACTTATCGTGACCCCAACATGCCCTATGCCAGGATGGGATATCAAATCTGAAAGAGATCTCAAATATGGTTCTACGAATGGCAATCTTACCTTTCGTAGTGTGGAATATGTGTGGATTGCCAATTTGTGTGGAAATCCTGCGATTAATGTTCCTGTTGATCCCGTTGAGACGGCCGGTGAAGGAAAGATTCCGATCGGTCTTATGGCAATGGATGATTGGGGATCGGAAGATCAATTGTTGGGATGGGGTAGAGAGGCTGAGATTTATTTGAATCATGTTTATGAAGGTGGCAGAAAGAGACCCAACGGTGAAGGCTGGGTTGATGTCTTTAAGCTTGCTAGTGGCTAGATGGATACCGACTCGGAAACCTAAGATTTTAGCATTAGATCTGAGAATACCGGTTCAGGTTTATGAGTTTATGGTGAATGATAGAGGGTAGAACCGGAGTGGCGGAACTGGTAATCTTGCTTTCTCTTATCGAAGCTTAGTTGAACTTTATTTCCAGTGTCGAAAGTAATAGTATAAGTTATCTAGTATTTCTTTACGATCAAGAATGGAGTACCTGACTAACGGGTAGACTTACTCCATTAATCTTAGCGTGACCGAACACTTTCTCCTATCTGAACAGCATGGACCCCTGCCCTCCAGATAAGCATGCATCAACCCCACTAATTCTAGATTCAGAAGCTGTCTTCAAATCATCGTCGTCAGCCTGCCCACTCCTCATGACATCTTGATCTAGGATGAAGACGTCAAGGAGTATACAAATAGTTGCTATGTAGCTCATAAAGTTGAACCGCTCCTAATATTTTCCCGTGCTCTTTCTCTTGATCCTTTATCCTTGGCATCCTGTGTGATCGTTTCAATATGCGTCTTCTCAATCTCATCGCGACTGCGTTTCTGAGTTCTTTTACTGCAGCTTCACGAACTCCAGATGCCTCTTCTCAACTTCGTACAAGATTTGTAAATGGCACTCATGAAAAAGCAATCACACCAAAAGTTTTCATTGTGGACATGGTAAGCAACAGACCGTAGTTTGAGTATCAGCCTATTGACTCGAAATACAGTTTTCAGATGAAGGAGAAGCATGGTATGGGATCAAAGAATTTGATATTCTGGCCAGGAATATCACTGTGCCTGGTATAAGTCCACTTTTCCCCGACGTACATTGTACACAGGACGGAGAAATTTGCCAAGTTGTAACTGGAGAAGGAGGTAAGAAAATGAGATCCTATGCGGCAAAGAATATTTTCCGTGGGCCCAGCTAAAAATCCCAGAAATCAATGCTGCTGTGACAATCAATTCTATTGCATATTCGCCCCTCTTCGACTTGAGCCAGACCTACTTCCTCATTGCGGGTATTGCAGGTGTGTCTCCTAAGGTAGCCACTATTGGTGTGAGTATCAATAATGCTCCCGTTGAAGTATTGTGCTGATATAACCAAGGCTGTAACATTTTCTCGTTACGCTGTATCTGTAGCTCTTCAATATGAGATGGATGCCAGAGAAATGCCTTCTAATTGGACCACTGGATATTGGCCTCAAGGAGCTTATTCACCAACAGAAACAGTGGCTGAAATTTACGGTACTGAAGTGTTTGAAGTCAATGAACCACTACGACAGATCGCCATGGATTTTGCCCGAACTGCTGTTTTAAATGACACCGCCGATGCAATGAGCTATCGAGCTCTATACGGTGCCACCGAAGCATATGCTCTCGGTGCTCAACCACCTTCAGTTGTGGCTTGTGACACCGCAACCTCAGATGTCTACTTCACGGGAGAGCTACTCGCCGATGCGTTCGAAAATACCACCTCGCTGTGGACAAATGGCAGCGGTATTTACTGCACTACGCAACAAGAAGACAACGCCACTCTGGAGGCTCTTCTTCGAGCTGCCACTAATAGTCTTGTTGATTTCTCCCGTATCATCATCATGCGTACCGCATCTGACTTTGATCGTCCTCATGCCAATCAAACCATCTTGGATAATCTTTTCGAACAAGACCAAGGTTATGATCCATCTATCCAGAATATTTATTTAGCTGGTGTGAAGGTGGTTGAGGGCATTGTGAATGGCTGGAATAGTACATTTGCTGGAGGTGTTGAAGCTACTAACTATGTGGGGGATATACTTGGTACGCTAGGTGGCGAACCAGATTTTGGACCAGGCTCAGTCTTTCCAAAAAGGAAGATGAAGCAAAGGAGGGGTGCGAGGCGCCACTAAGCGCGACTTGGTTGGATTTTGTATGAACAAGTCATGAAAAGAAAATGTACTAGTAATATATGGATATGGTGAAGGAAAATCAATGGATGTAACAATTCTCTTTTCGCCCCCCAGTAGCCCAGTTTATTATTGTGAGCAGCTGCATTAGCAACAAATCCTTTAAGTCAATCTGCACCGGTGACTGTAGACCAGTATCATAAAACACATGATCAATATCTAATGATCTTGTCCAAACTTCTATTACCCCGAGATCATATTCACGTTTTGGAATTGTACATGAGATTGAACAATGGGAGAGACCTTCGAATTTCTGTCTCCGCTTATATCGAAGTGCGTCGAAGAAAACTGTGTTTTACAGAGCCGTCCAATGAGCACAAGCTAATTTCCCACTGGGAAAAAAGATGTACGGAGTGAGTAATTGCCCACGCAATCTCAAGTGGAAACAGCAGAAAGACCTTCTAAACACATGACTGTTGAAGCAATCTGCCAAGCATTACGTCTGTATTCCATAGAAAAATCCATTGAAACGACCTCCTTTTCACCTCGAAGACAGAGGTGAATGCGCAGAATTTCAATGCGGTGTCCCGATATAACATAAATAGTTCCCTTGCCTTAAGATAAAGCATGCGCATCCCCTTTTATATTTCCTATACAATCACTAGCGCGTCACACTTACAAGTTCCCCACCAGTTCACCGAAGTAGTCTTGATGTAACCCCAATAGTTATTTGATATATGTACTACATGACTATAAGCCAAGGCACTTGCACGACTGCGGTGACAGTAGCTAACACTGCATCATAGTAAATGAAATCATGATACACTACATCACCAAGAACCACGAAGGATTTCCCCAAGAACTAATTATGCAATGCGTCAACGTTTTTGTGTTCCCTCCACAGAAGTACGATAGGAACGATGATAATATCCCGATGTATTTTAGGGTCGTTGGAATTATTCTTCACATCCATTATATCGACGGAGAAAATTTCCTGATGTCTCCACCCGCTTCATTGCATAATCTCGATTTTAATCACTTTTGCGCTTACAAATATATTTCACTGCGTGATGTGAAACTGGGTTCTGTGATACTCTGTAATCAATCGATTGTTCGAGCCGTTCAACGCGTAGTTTTCCTTGCTTTGCCACAGCCGACAATTGTCAGTTTGATGTACAATGAAGGTATGCTGTGACGTCCGCAATGCGAAGGATTGCTCAGGATCAGTATTTTCCTTGTTCTTTTTGTAAAGAAGTTGTGCGGTATACAAATAAAAAGTAATTCGAGGAAACAGAACACCACCTTCCGAATATTGAAATTTTATCTTTATCCAGTGTAGATTTATTCATTTCACCACTTCCATCCTTGTAGTATGGAATGTGCTCGGCGTGCAAGATACATTAGTAAGCTATTTTGAAATCAAGTGATTGAATGAACAAGCGATAAGGATTCAGGAACAAATTTGGTACCTGCATTAGGGTCTGGGGGCTTTCGGGGGCGAACATATTGTGATACTTGAGAGAACGTGTGGGAACAGGGAAACATTCCGGGTCGTGGCCCGGAAAATGTGCCGATGACACAAGATGTACAAGTCGATGAACGTTTTTGATGAGAAATATATTTAGATATTTGATTCTGTTTTATCCTTGCCCTCGATAATTCATTTCCATATCAATTGTAATGCTGTCTATAATCTATATCTATGATGATGATAGTAAGTATGCGAATTTGTGCATAGTATGTGATATATTTTTATATAAGAAACAATATTGTGTACAAGTGCTATCGTAACTCGACAGTCACAGCAGTAGGAACTGTGCATGAATTTGAAAGTCCAAATATGGCATCTAGCCACGATTTTAGTTCTTCTCTAGGACCAAATTCTGCCACGAGTCGAGATGGCTCATCCATAATTGCATGAGCAATTTCGGTAGCGTTACCCAGTGTGTCTTGGTTATTTGCGCAGCGAGTTTGGGAAAAAATTCCATTCACTAATTCCGAAAAGGCCTCGATCGTCTCAGGGATCCCAAAATGCAAGAGAAGTGCGATAATGGGGAAGATAGCGAAGAAGCCTAGAATTGGGCGTGTAGAACATTTCCGTGGCAAGGTGGATATCATATGTGCTAGAACAAGAAGCGCACAAAGACACGACAGCACAGCTAAAGCTGAAGAAGGAAGGACGTGTATGTATATGGTAGAGAGTCCAAACGTAGACACGAGAGTCAAGGTACAAGCATGGCCTCCATTGCACTGCGATACGCATTAGTACTGAGGATGATCGTTGTGAAGGAAGAATGAATTATGAATGCAATATAAAACTCACAAGAATTATGACAGCAGCCCATAGAAGTGCCTTGAAGATACTGTAGATCGAGAGACTAAGAATCACCGGACTTTGTTGCTGTGAAACCAGGAGGATAACAGTTAGGAAGCAAACTACCCAGCAGCATGTTCCTTCCAGGTCTAAAAAGAGTTGATGCACGGAAGGGGCTTCATCACGGGCACTAGATGATGAGCTTAGACGTGTATAGATGGTCGTTTGGCAGATGAGGAATATGAGGCCCAGACCGATAGTGATAGGGTTATATGCCGAGGGGAGAAAGAGAACACTAGTTGAAATGGCGACAAGAATATAGAATATTAAATTGTAACCATAATTGGTTGGGTATTCTAATTTCTCGGATTTGGAGTTGCTAGGAAGGATAAGATAATCGGCATCATTATTCCGAGTGACAAAGTAGAGCGCTGGAGTAAGGAATGGCTACAGGAAGTCTTAGAGTTTGAGTAGTAAGTCAAAGGACAATGGGGGACAAACCAGTATCCAATTCACTTCAACAAGCGATGCACAGACACTAGATGTAACGATAAAGAATGCAAGACTTGTTGATTCTTCCTCGATATCACCTCCTCGGGCATAAGGTATCTTCTTTCGGGAAATGAACGAATAGACTTTGATACCAGCCCAAAGCATACACCAACATAACCACTCGGAAAAGAGATTCAGCACTTGTGGGGTATCATCGAAAGCAAATGAATAATACATTCTAGAAGAATAAAAGGAAGAACTAATTGAGGCAAGGGTATAAGGATTGTGGAGAAATGAATAAAACAAGGGTATTGAGCAACGTAATCAAAAAAGAGAATATCTATGTAGAAACGACCAGTACCATACTAGCAAAGCGATTGAATCACCAGAGTACAACTCTAATCTTCCAGGGAGGCATGATGTGGTTTTATGAGGACATGCCAAGAATAGGGTCAGCCTGTCCGCAGACCCCTCGTTGAATGGGAGTCGAAGGATTTACGCGCTTGAGGGCTTAGGAGGTATATGTTTCTATAATTGGATGGTAAGCTTGCTACAAAACCAGAGTTTTTGAGTGAAAATCAAAAGACGAAGGAGATGAAGGGGATGAGGGGACAGCATATATTGTCAAAGTGCTCTAACTTTTAAGGCTACATCAATCCTACAGCAATTTCTCGAACTTGAGGTTACTTGGCGATGACCAATGAACAAACGAACGGACATGTTGGAATATTCTAGGATTCAAGGACACAGCCAAAGCAAAGATAGGTACGAAAGAAACAATAAACAATGCGACAAGAAACGGAAAGAAGAACAGGATTTATGCAGTTCTGTTGGTATCTCGTTGGTGGTGTCATTGGTGTGTTGGCTAGATACATCACAAGTAAACACACCTCGATCAAAGGAACCTAGGTACCTGGGTAGATATATGAAGATACTGATGACCTACCCAGGTATTTGGTTGGTAGGTAGATACTTGAGTACGAGGTAAGTCGAAGGTACCTATTAGTTACGAGTCACGATTGGAGAAGCTGCTGCTGGGGGCGTGGCAAATAAGACATCACGTGAAAAGAATTGAGGCCAGCGGCAGGCTATGTTTCGGCCTTCCTCTCCACTAATAATAAATCTTGCGACCGTGCGGAATATTGTACGAAGTATACATTTTTAGATCATCATTCTTGACAATTCACGTCTCACTCAACAGACAGAAGAGTCGAGGAAACTCATTTATTTTGGTATCCTCTTTCCTTGCCGATATGTGTGTTATAGCACAGTAACACCAACTTATTCAAGCCCCCATTCTAGACCGACTGCTACCAGCCACTACATTGGAATACCAACATCTAGTGTCGTTGGTATCATTCGATCTTCGACAAATCCGTTGAGCTTTGCAGTGAAAACCGATGATGTTGCAAAACCCATTCATTGTAGGAGTGGGGGAGACCGATCGATTAATATGAATTGTAGGAATTTTTCATCTCATCCACAGTGCCTTCTTACAAAGCCTCGACCCCAAAATCTCCTTCATAAACCTCTCTATCTTTCATCTTTTTACCCTTCGTTGGAATCATTTGATGTCCTTATCTCACACATGGTAAATGAGTAGGAGACGAAGGAAGTGGCGTGATCCCACGACGTTTCAAGGGTTCGAACTGGTACAAATTGGTACACAATGGAATCATTATCAAATCTTCCATGCATTTGAGTAACGAATGCTGTGCTTGCACGTAGTACTACTAGTTTTTGTGTTTTGCATTATGATGCATTCAATGCGGATTCGAAGTCGAAATACCAACAAATCATCATGTACATGCACAATGTATAGTTCATTGTTGGCAGTGTAAAAAAAACAATTGATATCTACTTTGGTGTTGCTATGCAAGCTGAGGTATACGATGGGCCCCTGCAGTGCAGTCATCCTTTAGCTGCGCCTTACCTCAAGGTGAGATTCTTACTTTAATTGGTAGCTTCCATTGACACGAAAGTCTTACATACCGCAATTATTCTAGAAATTCAATGTCACATTGTCAAGGGATTAAACCTGTGTTTGAGGACTAGATGTAATCTCGACATGATCAAGTCAAGGTAACCTAAGCTTGACATGGAGGCTTATGTATCTCCCAGCTTCACGGGAGGGCTGAGTGCCAATCGCTAGAAAAATGCTGGAAAACTCTATCAGTCTCGATTATTACACATATAG